ACTCTGACTAGATTTTTAGCATTTTTTTTATGTACATACATTTGACCTCAGTTTTATTATTGTACAGATAGATTATAAGTCACTGGCATTGCCCGCGGTTCCGCCCGCGTTCGGACGACCGAGAACCAAATTCTTAGTTTATACATTTTATATATACCAGTTTAAGATTGAGAAAAAATGGCATTTTCTGTTTTAATGACAAAATTTTCGTATAGTCTATACATCTACACTCATATTATAAAGATACTATTTTGATTTATTTGTTTGTAGGCAATAAGTTCTTAAGCTACTGAATTCATTTTAATATGTACTTTTTTTACTAATAGGTAGCTACTAATTAAAAAATATCAAGTTGAGCTGTGTTGGGGCACTCTACCTTTGTTTTAACACGAAACGTCTATTTCAACGAGTCGCTTTGAGTGTCAAAGATTGGAATGAAAACAAAGATTGGAATGGAATGAATAGTGTACATAATTTCTTTCGATTAATATTGAAGAACCATACCATCTAAATACTTGCAGGTGGTTATGTGGGACTCTCTGGCTAGAAAAGCCAGTACTAACCACTAAAATCCAGCAGAACCGACCCCGTCTTAATGGGACATTGCAGGATTGATTACGCACTCAACCATAACGTCCGGCCCGGCAGGTCTGTCGTAGCAGACCACACAACCAAAGCGCTGCTACCACGGTCCACTGTGCTATCAGAGAAGTACAAAGAGGAACCCGCATAGTAACCGTCCACGGAAGTGGGCCACATCCCTGTGTGTTTCTTGGCTTCGCGCGCGGTTGGGTTACTGGACGCTAATGAGTCCCTCCCACCACGACAAGGTGAATACACATCAGGAGAGAATAACAACGGTTTTAATATGGCAACCTAATGCAACCTATTTCGTTACGTTCCACTTTTCTGACCTGGTACCCGTATGTTTCAGTGTGATTTTAAAGACATTTCATGGCAAAACCAAACTTTTAGATTTCACTTAATTATATACACTAGATTCATTGTGCACCGCAAGATTGAATAAAAAAGTTGCGTTGAGTGGCAATGCCACAAAAGCCCTCTTTTAATCTCATATTTAATTTAGTAATATTGTATTTTTCGGTTCTCTGAAATTTCAGTATCATTATTACTACTATCTAAAAATTCTTGTGGAAATAGTATATCTTAATGTAAGTAATATAAATATTTTGCAGATTTCTATTTCGTAGTCTTTCTTCCCTAGCAGCTGGTTATAGGTGGTAAAAACTTGGACCATGGGAAAACAGACGGCACCGCATTCTCCTTTAACTTTCGACGTTTTAAATTAAAACCTGCAATTTAAGCAATTACGGCAATTTATATATTATATATCTGTAAAAATTCCAATATTAGTAAAAAGTACAAAAAATAAAAATAATTAATTCACCTGTAGACGATTTGAAAGTTTTAACATTATTTTCTGTAAAATAGTGTTCTCACTATCCTTAAATATAAATAAAGATTGTATTTCGCCAATTTTGGTCATCTTATTGCTTTAGGCCACAATTTCTTTAGTTTTAGTCTTTCGGGAATAATGATATCCATTTTCTTTGCAGGATGCAGTGCACAATTTGTCTTTTTAATTGAATTTTAAATAAAATGAAAAATTTACAATATACTGAGGATCATAATGATCCCGATAGATGGCGGAAGACAATATTATTTAAATTATATTAAGGCGCAATATTCTTCCCCGTTGACTCTGATTTAAAATTTAAATAATTAACTCAGAGGTAAAACCACAGGTGTAAGCCATACTTCCATATCAATAATATAAATATTATAAATGTGAAAGTGTGTTAGTGTGTTTGTTTGTTTGTTTGTTTTTATGTTTGTTTGTACTATGTCCTTCTTTCACGTAGAAACGAATAGACGCTTTGGCTTGATTTTTTGTGTGAAGATAGTTGGAAGGCTGGAGAGTGACATAGGCTACATTTTACCGTGGGTGGTTATCTCATTCCCACCTTACCGGTGGAAATGAGATAATCGTGATAGTACAGCCCAAAAAGTTATTTATGATCAGAATGACATGAAACTTGGTATTAATGCTATTCAATACAATTAAATTAATACGTGTTTTAGCATTTTTCGAAATTCATCCCATATGTGGGTAAAATAAATAGGAGATGAGTTTTAGCGCGAGCGAGACAGCGGGTTCTACTAGTATGTAAAATTATATACGCTGTAACAATCACATAAAAAGTGCTTAGCGCCATCTATAGAAAGCTTCTCTCAAACTGTAGCTCAGATCACAGATGACGCTTTTTATTGTCAATTGTCATCCGTGGATGACGCCATTGACGTATTACGTTGAGGAGAGAAATATAACTTATGCTTTAGATTTTAGAATGAAATTATTGATTTAAACCTTTAAAATCTAAATAAAATTTCTCTACAAGTTTGCATGTTTTTCAATTACAGCACTAAAGCGCATTATGCGCGTTGTTCGTGTTTTGCGCCAAAGTACAGCATTATGCGGCATGGTTTTAACCTATGGTTATATTATTTATGGAGAATGAACACATATTTCTTGTTCTTTTATTTTACACCATTGTGCATTCTCCTTCTCGATCTATAGTCATCCATGGTTATAACCATTATATAGATAAAGTTCAAAAAAACAAGTTGAGATTTTGTTGATAAATAATGTTGTCAGATATTTTTATTTATCTGTACTTTAGGCTTGGAGGAAACATTATTTTGTCGAACTGTAAATAGAAGAATTTGCCAATTCATAATTTCGGCTGTTTTTTTGTGGATATCATACTCGATATCTTAACAAAATGTGAATCTATTTTCATAATACTAAAAATTAATTTTCGATAATCTAACGATATTAACTTGTGTACCGGACATGGAAACTGTATGAAATAATTATTTTCGCATATGTCGAAGACAACCAATGCGCTTTAGATTTTTTCTACATAATCCCATTATTCCCACTATTTTTTTCATCTGCGGATGACATGTGCCGTTCCGCGTTCGTCACTTCGTGAATGGTGTGAGTTGTGACCTTCACCTTTGACTTTTGAGCAATAACAAACATGGACGACTCGTATTAAACTGAACCAATAAACTTATAATTTTTACTGCTTTGTCTTAGTAAGAGATGACATAAGTTAGAGAGAGACGTAATAATAAAGAAACTTTCGTCCGTAACGTTGTGAAGCCACTTGCTATCTTCGAGCAATAACAAGCATGGAGCAACTGTATTTAATTGAACATTTATAATATATCTGATCGTGTCCTTCTTACAGACTTCGTAATGAGAGGGACAGAGACAGAAATACTCAATTTGCTCTTTATTAAAATCGCAATGAAGCCGAGTAAGCTATAGAATTACTATATTTGTATATTGACTATTATAGTGATGTGCCAAAATTTACCGGCTTATAAATCAGAAATACGGTTTCTTTATAATATTTATAGTAACTATGAAAAACTATTACACGAAACAATACTTCACCTTAGGTCAAAATTAATTAAATTAAGTAGATTTTAAGGCAATAACATTTTTTTAAACATAATTTAAATTTATTATTTTGGCTAACAGATGTTGACTTTTTATGGATCATTTTTATTGTATTTGAATTGTATTTATTAATTATGTATTAGGGATTTATTATAAATTAATGTGTACTTTTGATTATGTAATTATAGCGAATGTTATGTACACTTGTAAAAACATATCTGGTTAATTGTTATTGTCTTCTAAATGTGTAGAAATGTTTTAATATGTGTGTTGTTAGTGTACTTTTTTCTAAATAAATAAATAACAGAAATAAATGAAACTCATTCATAGTCTTATCTTGTTTATTCATTATTCAAAAATATAACACAAAAAACAAGTTAATATTTACAAGTTGATACAATTACAAGATAATATATATTATTTGAAAGCTAAAGCACCATCTTAATCAATTATTAAGCATATTTATCAGTATATTGTCAATTATGCCATACTTTATTATTGTTAAAGATTTAAATTTAACACCAAAATCGATCAAATATTGTCAAAATATCGATGTATTCAAAAAATGATAACAAATAGATTCTATGGGAAAAAATACAAAAAGAACGTATACTTTACGTGACTCCCAATTTTTAATATTTTTTCACGACTCGTCAAATTGCAAAGTTGGAATGTTTACGGCGACATTGTATAAATAATAAGCGTCAAATTAAAAACTTAAGCATACTGTTTTTTTTTTAATTTTTTCCCGTACAATATATTGGTGTCTTACACCAATATATTGTAATAAAGCCAAAGCACACCGACTTCGAATATATTTGATTAGGTATGTATAGTAAATGAAAACTACCAATCAGTTCTTTTTTACTTTTTAGTGCTTTTGATTGAAGTCGGTTTTATTGTAGGCCACTCTACCGATTTCGCATATTTGATATTGACGTTCGCGGTTCGAGTCCACTGCTTGACACTTGACAGTACGTACAAGCATGAAACTTTGAAAATATTAAAAATTCCCCATGAATTATGAACGTATAGAAATTCTAAATTTATAGCAAATTATAGAAATATTCATTGTGATAACTAGTGAATAATCTATGATAAATAAAAATATTTAAAAAGGTAAGTTTCAGTTATGATATCCGCTTAGTGTAAACTTTAAAGTTTATACTTATGTCGACATGTTACGTTGGTAATTTAGCGTATGGATGAAAATGATAGAAAATCTTCAGGAAACGCTATTTATTCTGTATGTAAAGTATTTTAAATTATAATACATTAAATTAAAATAATATATTTTTCACATAACTAATTTGATTTTTTATAACAACGAAGGTTTCGCCTTGAATTCGTAATCGTTGTCGTGACCTTGTTCAAAACGACTGACCCCTGCCAACAACTATTTAGAACAATTTTCATTCCAATTATCTATTCGACCTTGTTTAAGATTCAGATAGTATGTATCATGTTGAAGAGTTGATGGTTGATGGTTTCAGGATAAGTATTCATCATGGACTCGCAAATGATAGAAATATTGGCAATTTTTATTAGTACTTTAACAGTTTTATCATGTTTATTTTTAAAAGTGCCACAAATTATCTATATTAAGAAAAAGCAATCTGCTGAAGGAATATACATACAAGCAATGCTGATGGAAATCACTGGGTATGCTATATTTTATACACTTTTGTTTTTTAGCTTTCTGATAATTTCTTGAATGAGATAAGATCATGAAAGTAACAAGAAATATATTGGTAGTTGATATTATGTTTATAATTTTTTACTACACAAAATTTTTATTATTGTGTAAATTTTCCTTACTGAAATAAATTAGAAAGAATTAACTCTTACTAGATTAGCTAATAATATCAATTGAATATCTTTTCACTTCACATATACATCCACTATGGATGATCCAATTCCTCCTATGATAAGTGTAATTTTTAATGTATGTACATAACAAGGTTTCTTATTGTAAAGCAAAATAAGGCTAAGTTTTATTTCAATTAGATAAAAATATTTAACTCTTCAACTAACAAGAAAACTGCAAGCAACTGCTAATCTTTGTATATGTGATTCTTTTCCATGTGTGCATGAACTCTTAAATGACTGGACTGATTTTGATGAAATTATTTGTGTGTTTAAGTGGGTTACAGGATGGTTAAGAATCACAACTGGATTCGATAGGTGTAACTGTAGTCAGAGCGGACTGTTGGAGCAAACACATGGTTGTTGGGTCTGCTTCATCAGTCCTACCATTAGGGTGTCGTGGTTGAGTGTGCAAATGATCCTGCGATGCCCCATTAAGACGGGGAGGTTTTGTGGATTTTAGTGGATAGTATTGGCTAGCTGGTGAGCTATAAGTAACTGTATTTGGTACAGGTGGTATGCATAAATGCATTTCCCAACATAAAAAAAAAATGTGTAGTGTAGTCAGGTTCTAAGATTTTTGTTATGACTATATTTAGACAGGACCATGTCTATCGGTTTCTGTAATCTATACATATAATAAAATTGTAACTAAGTCGAATCAGTACATTAGATATTTTTTGGAAAATCTAATTGAAATAGACATTATTATCGATACAGAGTCCGAATCTATAGTTTTTAGAATTTTTGTCTGTCTGTCTGTTACCACATCATGAGAAAACCACTGGACAGATTTTGATGAAATTTGGTATGATGGTAGCTGGTTATCTGGGTCAACATATTATAGGATACTTTTTACTGGGGGAAAATATCTCATTTCTGAGAAAAAATACAAAAACTGCATTTTAAGAGTATACTAATATGTAAAACCTAAGAATTTGGTTTTTGGTCATCGGAACGCGGGCGGAGCCGCGGCAATGCTAGTTGAATGTAAAATTTAAAGCTTAAAATTTAATGTACCCTTTTTTAACAATGTTATACTTTAAAGTATTTTTTAAGTTGTTTTATTTTTCTCTTTAATCAAAATAACAATTTCATAACTTACTCCTTTCACCTTACCATATAGGTATTAAATCTAGTCATATTTGCTTTTAGGTTTACCATAACAACACTCTACAACTATACTAATCAGTACAGTGTAATGACATATTTGGAATATCCCATAATTTTACTGCAAATTTATGTACTATTGTACTATGTGTTAAAATTCAGAGGATTTATATATGCACCAATTGTGCTGGTGACAACAGTGGCTTACTTTACAACCACTCTTGGATTTGCTTTTGGATTATTTCCAAAAGATATACTTTTATATCTTGTGGTAATTTTTATATTTTTCAATGAAATTAAATAGAAATAATAATTATTATATCAACATTAATATAGTATTAAAAAATTATGTGATATATGTTTCATTTTAGCCTTTTTGTACACCTTTGAGTGGATCCGCTAAAGTTACATATATGTATGGAATTATAAAAGCAGCGAATGCAGATGCAGTGTCCCTTACAACTTGGATAATTTCTGTCTTAACAAATTTATGTAAGTAATATTCTTGTCTTTTAATAATTAATCAATCTCGTTGCTTTGCCTTTTTTTTTATTTAATGCCTAGTATTTACATATGCAAATCGTGAGGTCAGACTTAAACAGTGCCTGGGTTTTTCGGTCATGAAATATTTAGTAGCAGTGTTTGAGAAGTTGGCGGTTTGTATGTTCCTGTGCCTCATCTTGTATAGTCCTGAACTTTATCTCTTACCATTTCACATCGGGTTGACATTCCACTGGAATGTGAGGGTTAAAAAAGTATACTCTACTCAGTAGAGAGTGAACTTGGGTCTGCACACAGCACCAAAATATGTCTTGTATAGGTGGTCTTAGTGAGGTTGGCCGCGGTGACCGAATTCGGCTTTGAGGACATTATTATTTTTAACTGGCCTATTAAAATATGCTTAATGTTATTTTTTTGTTAACTTGATTAATAATGAAAGGCTGTATAAAAAATTAAAAGTCTTTAGACAGAATTCCTGCTTTTTCTTCAAGAAGATATATCTAACGGGATATCCATATACTACTGATATCATCTTTAGTAGTTACTAATCTTGTGGCTGTTATCAGGGCTTAAATAATGAAGAATTGTCTTTGCTTACTTCATTTCACAATGTTATAAACTTGAAAGCAATTTAGCAGAGCAGCGAATTCATAGACACCGATCAGACTTTCACATTTAATATCAAAGCATAACTCTCTATGATCCACCAAGATCAACCAACGTTACTAAGCCACGTATCTACAATGAATGTCATGATGGCGTCTCGACCTAGCCTTAGACGTAACCTCTGCTCAAAATTTAAAATCAATAAAAACTATACTAAATAACATCGTGACTTTAAACAATAATAATATGTTTTATAGCAGAAAAAGATAACTAAATCCTCCTCTGTCACATCTATGAATACGATAGCAGCTCTCTTATTGCTATTTTTTCCTAAGGAGATGAAAATTTTTATGGAATGAATAACATTAACAGTTTTTCCACCAGGACCACTGCTTCTAATATGTCCATATTTTTATATTTCAGCTCGACTTTTTACCGTGTACGTCGATTCAGGAGACAAAACCCTCATGATCAACTTCTTGGTGTCGACACTGTTGAGCTCCGGGGTACTGTTCTCTGCATTGTATTATCAAATGTATCCTACTAAGAAGAAAACTCAAAGGCAACGAAGTAGATCTGCTAGCGTTCATGTCCATAAAGACTAAATAATTCATAGCAATATATACTCCTATTTATTGCTTATAAATTGACCTCAATACTCGTTCTAAATATATATTCAAGCATATTTTTATGGTAAGGGTAAGTTGTACTATTTATATACTCCATTAGTAGACATAGATATTCAAAAGTAGACTTTTGTAGCAACATTTATATCATAAGCAATGTTATTGTACAAAATAACAAAATGTGTAAGTCTGTACGTCATATACATTAAAAAAAATTACTGCGTGTAAGTAACCTTTACGCGCGGTTGAAGTAAAACTTCTTGTGCAGATACTGCAATTAAATTCAAACAAATCAAAATATAAATATAATATTTTTTACAAAATTATTAGTAATAAATATTCATTTTCACAAGTAATAATAAATAATAATTATTATAAAAATATAAATAGAATATTTTTTTTAGAATTATTAAAAATACATTTGACTGTCACTTTGACACTAATTTTTTCAATTTATTGACTTACCCCTCACTCACATCTAAAGAAGTTTTAGCTACTTCAAAAATTATATTTAGTTTGTTAAAGCACATACCCACGGGGGTTATTTAAATGTTATTTAAAATATCATTTTAGACACTGTTATCATTATTTTACGCAATAATAACGAATACTCCACTTTTTATAGACTTAAGATCATATAAAATATTAGAACATGTTATAAGTAATAATATTTTAATAAATTGCCTTTGCTCAATAAAAACGCACGAAATATATAAAGACATTAATAATTATTATAATATTTGTTATATTTGTACACTTATAGAAATAATATTAATAAATATGTACAATTAGAAAACGCTAGCAAACATCTAGTCAATTATTGCTAATATAATTGATTGTTAGTATCATGTTCACTCTGTATTTTAAAGTTACACACTAGAATATGTTTTGGGTATAAAGGAAATTGTAATTTATTTAGCCCTTTTTAACGTCCCACAACTGGGCACGGGCCTCCCTTCAGTACGAGGGGGGTCAGGCCTCAGGCCATGATTAGTCCACCACGCACAAGTGCTGGTTGGCGGACTTCACATTTCTCTCGAAAACTTGCTAGGTTCTCTCAGACATGCAGGTTTTCTCACGATGTTTTTCTTCACCGTAGGGCAAGTGGTAGTCATGTTAGAAATGATTCGCACAAGAAAATATCATAGATACGTGATCGGGATTTGAATTCGGATTCCCATGCGAGCGCGTTACCACTGTGATATTTCTAGACTGGGATTAATTCTGTATAAAGATTTATTTATGTGCAGTACAACTGTATTTAAAACATATTCTCAATAAATGAGTAAAACAATAAATGTTGAAAAGTATTGAACAAATCTTTCTTTTATACTCAAAATATTGTAATGAGTGCTGAAATGTGTATAAATCGTGCAGATAAATAATGAGATTATAAATGGTGTTGCCTATTTTCAAATTATATTCGGAAATTGTGGCTGTTTTCACTCACATCCGCGGTTAAACTGAAAAAATAATTATTAGGTATATTCTTCGTTTCGGAGATTAGCCGGAACAAATAGACAGACCGACAAAATTTTTAAAAATTGTTTCCTTCCTATTAGTACCGTAAATATTTTCATATACATTTAGTAAAAAGCTGTTATTTTGACTTTACAAACGGACACTTCAATTTTATTTATCTGTATAAATGAAGACATGGTGCGTGTCCAAACGCGTCCAGCTAAATATTCTAAATAAATATACAATAAAGATCATCTTTAGTGTATATTAGTACATGAAATTCGAGATTAATTAAAAATTAATATTACGTCATCCTATAAATTTAGTCTAGAACAGTCTAAAATATGCATATAGCATTACTTTAAAAAAATATGGCAATAATTCTAACACTTATTTACTTTAAATCAAAAAATATTTATATGCTAAAGAAACCTTTATACCATCTAAATATTTTTTTTATACCGTTACTACAGATGTAAATTGTTTTCACCTAAATTGTTGATAGGGCCGCCATTTTTACTTACATTACTTATCTGCATAGGTCATAGGTGCAATGTTTTATAAAAGAAGGTTGTAAATAAAAAATCTCAGTAAATCGATCTGATTGTTATGCCATTATTTGGTACAAATGCAAATAGGTTGTTAAACACATGTATTATTCCATTGTGATAGCACCATAGTTTATGTACAAATAGTGTATGCAAATTTTATATTAGATAAAACTAAAATTAGTATGAGTTACAGTTATAGTAAATTATTGAAAAAAACATCCATAGGAGATGGTATGACACTCGTTTTCGTTTTCGAATGTATATTAAAGCCAGTGCTAAGCACTATAATCATATATCTAATACTTCTATAATAGAGTCCAAAATTGTAAGTGCCATACAGGAACCCCCCCAACGTGCGTTCACCTTGTCGTGGTGGGGGGGCTCAGTAGCAGTAGCGAAGCTAAGAAACGCACAGGGAGGTTGCCCACTTCGGTGGGCGGTGGGAGGTGGCCCTCTTCGGAGGGCGGTGTACCATGCGGGTTGCTCCTGGTACTTCTCTGATAGCAGAGTGGACTGTGGAGCAACCCCATGGTTGTGGTGGTCTGCTTCGGCGGACCTGCCGTCGGGGCGTCGTAGTTGAATGCGTAAGTGATCCTGCGACGCCCCATTAAGACGGGGGAAGGTTTTGTTGGGTTTTAGTGGGTAGTACTGGCTGTATTACGCCGGTGAGTCCCACACGTCGTGCGTAAATGCATTTCCCAACGTTAAAAAAAAAAAAAAAAAAAGTGCCATACAGGAAGCAATAATTTACCTTGAAAATGGGAAAACGCAATAAATCCTGATGGTATTTTTTACGCAATATCAACGAGTATTACCTTTGTATATGTGCACTTGCTACACCAGAGGGCATCACTCGTGCGTTACCATTTATGACGATGGTGGGGTTGGATTAGGAGCTGATGTGGTTGTTTTCAACCAACAGCAGTGCTATTTTTTAGCTGCCTTAAAAGGGTCCATAAATGCTATACACTTAAGTTTATCATCTAACCATTCTAACCCTGAAAACGCGATTTCTTCAATTAAATGTAAAATTAAGTTTTCAGTTCGACCTCAAATATTTGTCAACTCAGTTGAAAGTTGACAAATAAGTGAGGTTGCTGTTATATATAAATATAAACCTATGGGAAATCGCATTTAGACAGCTCATAAAAAGCATGTCAACTTTCAGATTCAAACCGTGATAAGTTTGCCTTGCAGAACACTTTGTTAAAAGATACATGGGCTTATGTCGAGCTATAATAGTATTCACTTTGCCTCAACGACCACACAGCCCGATAGACGCCTAATTTATGTACTTCTGCATCCAAACCTTTCAGTCAAAAGCCTGAGGTAAGCGTCACGGGGAGGCGGGTTGAAATGCACGCTGATTGGTTAATTCAATACAAATAGTGATGGGAACCAGAAGTTTTATATCGTATCGTAGGTAGGTATCGTATTTAGTAAAAAAAATTTCTGTTTTAAAGAATACTTTTAATTAAGACAAGTTTTCTTTACTATAATGAAATAATAATAGAATACTTAATATTATTTATACAGGTTTATTCAAGGTTTATTTACAGTTATATCCATGGTGAAAGTTTTCGGAAAACTGTCCCTTACACTCTGTATAACTAAAGTACTACTTATTTACATGAACTTATTATTTATAAAAAAAATACATTAGGTACTTATTACAATTATTTATTCTTTACATTTAGTGTATATAAATATTCATAAATTAAAAGTACAAAAATTAAAAAAAACTAATAATTATTATAATAGATAAATATCATAATACAAAAGAAATTGGTAATAATACATAATAATAAGAAGTAAAATTAAAATCATCATTATAAACAAAAAAAAAACAATAATTAAGATTAACAATCATGCATTTTATAATAATTAAATAACTTATTTCGACAAATTTTATAGTTTAACTGGTACAGCACTAGTTACACGTGCCGGTAATTAAAGAAAAGTATAGCAACAATGAACTGCATTGAAAAGAAAGGGATGCATAGTCCGAGAATGTCCGAATACATCAACGCGAGTTGCGTTGCGACCAATATAACTTCAGCTCTGATTTAATTACATTTAATGAATTTGGAAATTAAAACTCACTTACCTATGAAAAGTGATGCCATTTTTTTTAATTACATGTTTGGCTACTATTTCCATACCATTTTATTGTACAGGAAGCCATGTTGCGAGACTTGCGAGTCTGTTGTATTTTTTATGTCGGAAATTCACGAGTCTCAAGCAATGTGTTCGCGGGTCACGGATGTGGTCGCTACTGAAGTACATCGCGCGATCGTTTTCTCAAGTCAGACGTATTTGTCTAACGTGTTGACTGAAAGTGTTCGCCTTGCGTGAGGTGTCTATTGGGCTGAGTGGTCGTTGCTTTGCCTTTATCCAGTCGTGGACTAATCATATAGTAGTAATAGATATGTGCCTATCAAATTATATTCGTATTACAATGTTAAATATTTTAAAAGTACATATTGAAAACAGATAATAATATTGTATTTTCTTGTGTTCATTTTGTAAATATACGCCATATTTTGCCATATTAGCATAATAATACTTTCTTAGATTTGACATTTTAAGTAAAACTGTTTTCGGATTATTTCGCGGATTTATTTTGATTTTCCCGGTCTCTTGCGGTAACCACGATTGCTGTAAAGCATTCGAAACGTCGGGAACCAAAAATCAAAATAAATCCGCGAAGTAATCCGAAAAGATAGTTTTATTTAAAATATTAGCATAAATTTTTATTTTAATTACATTAAATATTATAAACGATTTTGTAAAAAGATAAATATGTGATACAACTTGACTCAAGATGAGGTTATTAGGTATGTTCTCCATATTATAATATATCATGAAATAATAAACAATCTTGGGTTATTTGTATGTATATTGTATGTGTACTGTCAAGCAATATTTTTTTTTTAAATATGCAGCTAAATATGAAGTTTTATGAGCCAGATTATACTAAATTCTTTATTATTAGTTAAACTTTCATTTACTTCAAAAAAAAATCTTTTTGAATCTTCAGTAATTTAAAATATTCTAGACAAGGGCTAGCTCTGTCCGTCATTAGATATTTATAATATATAAATTGTTATGGTCTATAAACTTGTTTGAATGATATAATCTCTAGATCTTATTATTATTTAAATTAATTAAAAAAGATTAAAAATACAATGTTTTGATTTTTCGACATTCCTACTCTCCTCGGCCATAAATATTTAATTTTAAAATAATTTTAAATTATCTCGAAACTATCTTGCACCAAAATAATCAGTCTTTTGTAAAATTATCCAAATGTCAGTGGATACTGGATACATATAACGTAAATTTTTATACTCTACATATTTTTAAATAACTGCCTCGGTGGTGTATTGGCTAGCATGTACGGCTGCACACCCGGAGGTCCTGGGTTCGAGTCCCGGGTCGGGCCAAGTTTTGTTATTGAGTCTTTCTGTATAGTAAGCCTCAGTAATAGCACGGAGTTGGGAAGTTGGCGGTGTTCCACACCCGTACCTCGGAGAGCACGTAAAGCCGTTGGTCCTGTCGAGTAGTCGTCCCACCAGAGTATGAGAGTGACAGGAATAGAGAGTGCACTTGTGTCTGCACGTACACTTGTGCACTATAATATCCGCCGTGGCCGGAATCGGCCGGGAGAACATCATCATCATTTTTAAATTTGTCTCTTTCACTACTTTTGATTTGATTCCCTTGCCCTTCGTTTTGAATTATTTTGAAATATTATTTATAGTCCTAGATTTTGCCAGGCGTTGTCAGCGATTAGTTTTATAGATAGTTTCAGAATACATGGTTTTAACTAGATTTGATAAGGCATTAACCTTTTTAGGGAACCCGAGGAATGGAAACTATTACTAAGCATAGGGGTCATTCATATATTGTCACATTAATTTCTAGATGTTTGGAACCACTCCAATCCTATATGCGCTGTGACTTAGGTCAAAATGAGTCTCGTTCACATGCACAGTTGTTCATTATATTTTCTAAAAAATTTATTGTAAATATTTAACCGAGGCTCGTACTTGCGTAATTATATTAATGATTTTAATTTAATTATAAAACGTGTTTATAATATTATTTAGTGCACTGGTATATTTGACTGCGTAGATTGTTAATATTTTACGAAATCTTAATAGTGGATATGCTTAAAGATGACCTTGTCTAAAAAGGAATTGTTTGTCATTTAACTAAAAACACGTATATCAAACTGTAGGTATTTATTTTATTTTTTAAGTAATTTCTTCGGTATCTAAGTTTTCAACATCTATGCTTGCTAAATCTCGAAACTTTTGCAATACTTTTTGTACAGGCGACGTATTTGTAAAGGTTGACGACTTTATAGTACCTAGTTTTGGTCTATTTTTAAAATTATAAAATATTTTTTTCGGCAACTTTTCCCTCGAGGTTTTACACTTGGTCATAAGTAAACGTGAACAAAGAACTCTCGGAGATGTGTCTAAGGATGAAGAGGATAGCCTGGACCCAAGGGACGTAACAATAGAACCATGACGAGGTGAACTCACATACGAGGGTTCGCATCTATATACATTATGAGTAGGTTTCTCAATTGAACTCTTAATTTCTGGCAGAGCTGGCAAATCCTCTGGCTCACTTGTTGTAGAATCATTAACTTCTTCTTTCCCAATTTTAAATTTCCCTTCGGGCTCTTGGGAGCCGAAATTTACGCGACTTGCTAACCGTTTACCTCGGCTCCTAGCTTTTCTTTTTGCAATATATACTGCGCTTTCAGACCCGACGAGATGTGTGTTTTGATCAATATATTTACATGCTATTTCTGCTTCCTCCTCTGGTGACAAGTGGGCATCGCGAAAAAATCCGTACCCGTCTCGGACATCATAATATCCTTCTATCATAAGCCACGATAGAGTAAATATTACAAGAGACACAGTTGTGAACATAGCTATTACTGTGATGGTATCTGGACTTGCAAGTTTGAGATTAATTTTTCCAAGTACTCCATATGTAACAAAATTTCGTGTACGCTTATTGATACGTCCTCGACAGGTGTAGAAACCTTGGCAGTCGTAATCAGCTGTTATAAACAGACGTAATACTCTACCGTCGTCAATAGAACGCTGATTTTTATTTCTTCGTATCTCAATTGGAGAATCTAAATAAAGCCAGTACGCTGTTTGAGGAGATTTTAAAATGCGAGCGTGTACACATGTTAAATTTAACATATTTGAATCGCCCCAACTTGTCTCGTGATAAGACCCTGTTATGCTAGCAGATCGAGAGGAAAGTTGCATAAAATCATCTTTAATTCTCTCAATGGTAAAATCATGTATGTCTAACATATCATTATTTACTTTTATGGCGGCTATAATACCAGCAAATGATGTAATATCTTCAGATATTTTACTGCTAATTCCTATGGGAACGCCACCAATAAAAAAATCCTCGCCGCAAATACACTTTTCTTGAGTGTTATTGATACACGTTTTATTTTTATTTTCAATACAAGTTTTAGATTGATTTGATAAATGTTTGATTTGCTCTGAATTGCTAAGGTCGAAAGCTTTTCGTTTGATAATATAATCTTCCGTTAAAAACACATGAAACCGTTCACCAGAATTAATCGTAGCCACTATTGTATTTGTCTCTCTCTTTTTATTTAAAGCTACGTGCAACCATTGATCTGGTAAATACTCTAAGGAGCTGGTTGCTTCTGATTGAAACGTATCATATAACAATTTCATTTTTAATCTCATATTTTGTAATCCCATAAATAACCAATTTTCGTGATTATCGTTTGAAAGAAACAGTATTGTTCCGACATCCCTTTGTGATTTCAATGTAAGTTCTAATTGCCATTCATCTTGGTCTTTGAAACATGGTAGTATTAAGTACTGACCATCCTCAAGATATAAATAGGCTTCATCTATGCCAGCTTTTTCATAGACAATGTTTGACGCAGAAATAGGATAAAAATCAGACAGAGTGTTTCTACGTTCACGTTCAATGAATAAACTTAATGGAATAAAGTTCAAAATCAACTCCTGGACTTCTCCGCGAAGCCTTTCACCTATAAAAATATTCACTTTGTCATCAGTTAATTCTGGGTCACATGGAAATGAACTTTGTATAGAAAATAGAGCATCGTTTATTCTGAGAGTGGCAAAATTGTTAGTGATTGTTATCAATATGGAATGCCAATTCGACGGTTCAAGAGCAGAAGGAGAACATGTACGTGGAAGGCTACAAGTTTTAGATGAACCACTAGCATCCAAACAAACATGCCATTTTTGCAGACTTAAACGAACACGTGGATTTTGGGCGGTTCCTCGACGAATAAGAGTTCCATGAGGTGACAACGGCATAAAGCGGACATAGAAATGTAGGAATGTTGATCGTTTATTAGAAAGATTATATTGTAAAACTGAATCTCCATTAAAAACTGCAATTGTATGACCATAAGCGTCACATGGGGTTAAATTGCATGATCCTACTTCAATTTTAGAGCCCATGCAAGGTTTACCCTCATCTGAAGGTATTGGTCTAGTACATGATCTAGTCCTAGATCTCTTTCCAGATCCACAACTTTGAGAGCAAGGCCCCCAACTTCCCCAGCCAGACCATCCACCATTAAGAACGCATTTTTTATTGACACATATTTCTAATTGGTCATATTGCCCTCGACAATGAGTTCCCCAAGTTATAGCAGCTAAAGAGATATGCTTTTCAATACAAGTTCTGTTTCTGCGCCGGATACCCATGCCACATTTTTCTGAGCATTTCGTCCAGCATCCCCACTCTCCCCAAGACCCGCTCACGTTATGTTCAGAGTATTCCCCATCAATTGCACACTGTTCACCTTCACATTCTTCATATTTTATTGGGGTTCCTAAGCACATTAAATGAGCTGTCGATGGAGACGGTGTATCACATTTTCTGAGTTTCCATTTTAAACCTTTACCACATCGTGCTCCACATGCTGACCATGATCCCCATGATCCCCATTCACCTTTAAGAGAACAACCTAAATCATGTTTAACACACTGAAGTGCATTCCAGATGGTCTCGGAGTTTACTTGCCAGATATTTTCAGTAGCTAAGGCTGCTTCGATTGCTTCAAAAGGACATTCCATTCGCAGACATTGTTCCATTAACGCCGGTACAGCTTCTAATTGACGAAGGGCTTCAGTTCTTGCGGTATCCCCTTCGACGATTTTCCGAAAATCTTCTACTGAACAATTTTTCAGATAACAAGGATCAGTCTCTTGTTTAACGCCATTACATGGCATACCATCTATTGAAGGCGATGGATTATTACACTCACGTATTCTTTTACGATGTCCAATATTGTCGCAAGAACCCAAGCATTTAGACCAAGGCGACCATGGGGACCAGCCACCATCGACTGGACAGTCAAAATCGTTTATAATGCCTAATTCACATTCCAAGCGCCATGTTGCTAGAAGATGTTTACTGATGGGCTTCTTACTCATTATTACACACGTAAATATCGACAAAAAGTAATATACCAGGGCGATTTTTGTAAAAGGTGACATTTTACCATTTTGGCTAATTTGATTGACGTCACGAATATAATTACCAGAACTATCGTATATGGTAATTAAAAATATTTGATTATATGTAAAAAATAATTTAATAAAACCTAAATTTTGTTTTTTAAAATTAATGTGATTAATTCATTTGAATTAATTTTAAAAATTAGGCACATTTCTGATTGCGCGGCAGTCTAAGAATCTGTAGCATGCCGATTTTTACGCCGAACAATATGATTATAAGAAATAAAACACGTTAAATTAAAAAATATATATATTATTAAAACTTTTATAAATGGTAACATTCCAAAAATAAAATATTTTTGCAAACAAGTCATTCAATTAAGTAACAATTAAAAGCAATATATATAGGAAAGGAAATACTGAGAAGAAAAGACTTACAAGAGAATTTAGAAAATGTAGAAAAATATTATTCATATAATAATAATAAAAATCTCACATTTGGATTTCGTATTTTTAAAGATATAATATTATGTGCAAAAGAAGAAATAGTTTATATATATATATAGGTTTTTACCAGCAAAACAATAAAATAATATTCACTCGTATTGCAATTATAAAGCCATTAAAAGTATTCTTTAAATATAGCAAACTAGTGACTCACGCTCACTTAACTCGGGTTCGTTCCTAGGTTGATTCCCCACACAAATTTTCATCCCCATTCTCACCCCCTTAAGGGATGATTTCCGGGATAAAAATTATCCTATGTCCTTCCCAGGGTATCAACCTATCTTCTTACCAAATTTCATCTAAATCGGTTCAGCAGACCCAGAGATCCTACAACCTCACAAACTATACCTCTTTATAATATTAGTACAGATATCAAATAGAATACATTGGTACATAACAATAAATAAAAGTCCTACAGGGAAATTGCAAGTGAACAATTTCCATAAATAAATAATACCAGAATATTGCATTATACTATGTCTTAATCATTAATCATTTAAAATATCTCACTCACAAAACTTAAAAGTTAAATGTGTAATAAAAACAGTTCTTCAGCAAAAAAATATATAATAATATAAATAATTACATTAATTCAAAAGCAATTATATTGGTTTTGAAGCCTCAGGTCCTATGCACACCATGTTTTTTCTAAACGCGACAACGACGTATCTTTAATACTCTTAAAAAATGCATTTTACATACAATTTTCATATCAATGCAAACGAGTGACAAACATCTACAGAGCAGTAAAGTCATAGTGTGCACAGGTCCTTACATTTGACAGAGCACATCTATATTTAATATATAAGTACCCAATTTTGTGGATGATTGTACGCAAGAAATATTGGACAGTGTAACAACAAAGAGTATGAGCTAGAGTCGACATTTTCCGATACTTGTAACCACCGAGTTAGCCAGTCTCTCAGATCCTGATTAGATAGGTGACTGCTATTCAGCCCTCTTATATGACAAGCATTCCTTAAAGAATCTGTGCTAAGAGTATCCACACCCCCTTCTCTGATAATAGCCTTGTCCATTTCTAGCAATAAAAATGCCCTGTATTTCAATTTTTTCCGTCTCAACAAACTGCGCCTTAAACCATGCATTTTCAGTAAATGTCCCTGAAAAAAATTAAATCAATTTATTACATGTAAAATATTAGAATAATTATTTTCATTATTTACTTAAGCAGATATCTATATTCAATATTTTTTATTGAAATATATGAAAACTTTACTTTATATGGTGTATAGAAAGCATTTTCCAGTGTATATTTTTATGAAACATTTTTCTTCAATGAATTAAACCAAAGCCATAATTTTACAGTAGATACTCACCATGTGTGCATATGACAAATTAGCTAAGCTAAATGGTTCTTTGCTAAATAATACTTTACAGTCCAGTATTTCACTTGTAGATGGATGAACTCCAGAACCAAGTAACCCAATGATCCTTTTCCATTGCCTTTTAAGATCTCCTGAAGGCACTAAATTTGATTTAGCTTGTAAAGCTCTAAATACTGGTTTATTATTTTTAAGGCGGTCTGTTAGGTCTTGTACCGAAAATTCTGCTTTTTGCTGTATAGACCAAAAGTGAGAACACAACAATGTTCTTGGTTTCAAAAACCTGTAAGTGTTTGAAGTGAAATTTTAATTAATTTAATATTATTTAATATTACCAAAAAGATCATTCCTGTACAAACTTAAGTACTACTTATTTAAGTAAATATTAAAAATAGCCATTTTACTTTTATACATTTACAATTTAGGTATTGTGAAAAAAAAAATACTTACGCTAGAGGAAATATTATATAATTTCCAAAAGGAACAGCTGATAATATTAATACAGGAGCTATTTTCCACATATCTGATGGCATTTTTTCATATAATTCAATATCTTGACGTGACATTTTGGAAAATCCTCCATTTTTTGTTATTTTTATTCTAAGTGAAATATAGGTCTTTAAATCTTTCAAAAAATCTTTTATGCCTACACTGAAAACTCTATACATTCGCATCGCAGAAGGAAATCTATCCTCTAAAAGTTTTGTATAATTTTTGACATAATCAATATATCTTTGAACTATATATGTTCTTAGTTTTTCCTTTTCAGCTTTAATTGTTTGCGTGTGTTTTGTGCGTTGAAGAGATAGAAATCTGAAAATATGGCGAGTTAAACATGAGCCCATACATAATGTTACAAACTGTAATCGAAAATAATTTTAGTAGGTAGGACTACAAAGTATTTATTTTATTTATTTTAGGGAAACAAACAGTATTACAGAGCGTGCAACTTAAAATAAATAAATACACACATTTACCAATTAGAAATAATATAATATATAATTTAAAAATAAAGAGGAAAATAAATATAAAATATGAATCATGTAAAATGCAATATCCTACCCATTGTCACTTTTATAATAATTGCCTCCAGCAGCGCAAAATCGGTTACATTGCAACATTATTCTGGAAACTGCAACTAAACGATGGATAGACATTTTTCACTAATATAAAACCAGGGCAATATTTAAAACGTAACATGGATGGTGGAAAAATAATATTTTTTTTTAATTTTCAAATATAAAATGAATTATTGACATTGACATGTTATTCTAATGTTGCCATTTGCCAACACATAAACATGAAGTTAAAACATATTTACGATAATAAAATAGAAAATAAATATATTATAAAAATTAAAAACCCGAATGCATAAAAGCTAACTAAAAAGATGAAAACAAGTTCACGAAGGAATATAGACAACACGTTTTATCCTTGCCGCGAGATGTATATACTCGTATGGATGCATCCGAAGTCCGACTGCATAATTATTACTATATTCCTTCGTGTGACTATGCAATCGGATTTTAAATTTTTATAATATATTTATTTATTTACAGCTTTTTAAGTATTTCTAAGCAGGGAAATTAGCGAATATGATTGTTAATCAACTTTAAATCATTATATATACTGTTACATATTATATAAGCTGTTATTTAAAATTAAAAATAATGGAGGAAATTAAAAACTATTTTTAAATACCTTTCAACGATACCCCACTTGACATAGGTAGTTGATTTTCATTTTTTCTTTTTCACATTATGGCGTCAAAAATCGGCCATTTTGATTTTCCAAACCTTTATGCTTTTTATGACATTCGCGCCATCATGACGAATCAAATGATATGTCATTTATCAAAATCGCCCCACGCGTTTGGTCTAAATAGTGCTACAAAGGTATAAACAGCGCTGGATTTACACTAGGGACACTCGGGGCTAGTGCCCAGGGCGGCAATTTTTTAGGGGTGGCAAAATTCAAAGGTGAACAAAAAAACTTAATGTTATCGAATATTCATTTTGTATTTTCCAAAAAAATATAATTAAAAAAAAATTAGAAGTACATTTTTTCGAAAAATTGAAAACATTTATAAATCATTTTTTTTTTGCATTTTTAAAAAATTAATAATTAAATGAAATTAAACTTTATCGAAACTTTATCCATTTTATTCAAAATTTTCCATAATAGGGCGGCATTTTTTACACCGCCCAGGGGCGGCGCTGGGGTTGAATCCGGCACTGGGTACAAACCCACATACATACATACATACATACATAGTACTAGTACATACATTTGTACTTACATACGTACGTACATAGGCTGATAAAAACATCACCCTCCTTTGAGTCGCACAGTCGGGTAAAATTGCGTATCGTTTATATTCGTTTCGCTATTTTTAAAATTTATCCACCATACATTATAATCCTTACAGTTACTTTCGTATTCTACTATTTTTAATTGTATATATATATATTGCTAGGATACTTGAGCAAAAATGACTTACAGACGTGTCATCGCGAATTTATATAGCTTAGGTACCTGACAAAGGTTAGAAATAATATTAACTAGCGACTTACCTACGCTCGCTTCGCTTGGGTGCGTCCCTAGGTAGGAGGATTAGAGTCACAAGTTCATGGGCTTTATTTTTTTTGCGTGGAACATTGATTCTTTTTCCAAAATAAAAGCCGCCTAAGTTACTCCTAATAACATCAAGAATCTGTGTGACTAGTGGAGTCCTGTCAAAATCGGTCCAGTTGTTTCTGAGCTTAGCCGGAACAAACAGACACACAGATAAAATTTTAAAGTAAAAAGTTGTTATTTCGACATTACACACAGACACTTCAATTTTATTTTTCTGTATAGATAAGTGTAAGGCCGGCCGCATATATTAGGAAATATATATTTTGTCAGAAATTTTCAGACAGAAAAATCCTATAATGTGTGGCCAGTCTAAATTACGCGCGGCAAATTCGAAATTATGAAAAGCGGCACATTAACTTAATTTGTTATAACAAAATGTTATGTCACATGGGTTTATGCCAACAGATTTATTTTGCATCGTATTTGTAATGTTTAATGAGAAATAATAGTTGTTTGTAATCTTATGTTTACTTCTAATAAATATAATAATAATCTTAATATAATATATAGATTACTATACCATCAAAAATATGACATGAACATGAATTGTATTTCATCGTTTCAAGAAAATTTCTAAAATATTGTTCGACGCTGTCCATTAATGGTGCCATAAGATATAAGTTAAAAATATATTTTTAAGGTAAATATCACTTATAAAAGAGCTATGTGAATTATTATCATTCATTTTTTGTGATAGTTATCGTTTTTATATTAGCTCATTTTTTCTTATCATACATTAGAAAAAAAAACAAAAAAGGCGGGAGGCTAGAGGTCTTATCAAATTATAATTAATGATATTTTCGATTTATGGTAAAACAAAGTGCAAAGACAACATTTCAACATTTCATTTAAAATAAAGTATGTTAGCGCTTCCGGCTTCACCCAGAAATAGGTAGTATTTATTTACCTACCAATATATTTATTTTTTCTAAATTATGTTTACCTACTGCATGTAGTATAAATATCATACAGTAACATCTCAATTGACGAGATAATAATGATTATTTAATATATCTACTAGCGACTCACCCTCGCTCGTTTCTTCCCTATTTACGTTTTAACATTTAGTATAGATTTCTCAGAGATGAGATATTTTCCCGCAGTAAATAGTATTCTATATGTTGACACAGCTAACCAGCTTTCGTCCTACCAAATTACATTAAAATCTGTCCAGTGGTTTTAGTCCTGCGGTGATGCGTTCCCAGAGAAACAGAGAGAGGGAGAGACACAGACAAACAAACAGACAAAATTTCTAAAAATTTTAGATTCGGCCTCTGTATCAATAATATTGACTGTATACAGTACAGATGTACAGATTCGACTCAGATAGAATTTATAGAAGATACTTAATAAATATCAAATATTACGTGAGTGCTTATTCACGTATTAAAATACGATAGACATATTATTATATATTTTTACTGAACTAAATATTGTTACAGATATTTAAGAAAATTGCTTTACAATGCTAAACCATATTTCATCGTAAGTATTTTTTATTACAACCTAAATATTAAGTTTTTAAGAATGAAATCTCTCTCACATCGAATGGTATTCAAATAAGAATTGTGGACAACATTATGAGGTATTATTAGATACTACATTCACATTTTTCGAAGGTGAAAAGTTATACATTTTTATTTCAGATTAAGGATATAATTATCTAGAAAATTGCTTAAAATATTTAGCAACTAGATTAGGTGTTTAAAACTAGACTCACTTTTATAAATTTCAGGAGGCCCCAATGCTGTCAGAATTGCAGAGCTTCGCCCAATCATGAGTTTAAGCCAGTGGTTAATCTTAAAAACTCTGGATTAACAATATACATACATGAAAATAATATTTCGGTAATATAATCTTTTTAGATATTGTATAAAATCCAAAAATGTTCATGTACATAAAGATAATTTTTTTATTGTTATATAATTTGTATAACGTAGGCATCATATAATTCATCCATGTGTTTTGTTGTCACACTATAAAATAGTGTATAAAGACGAAAGTTTGTGAGTAAGAAAGGATGTGTGTTAATATTTCTTCAGGCTGTAAAGGCTCATTTTTTAGGCTTTGGAATGAAGGTAGCTTAATTAATACATCCTTTAAACACTTACGCTACGACTACTTTTTACCGCACATTTAGTACCACGGGCAAAAGCTAGGTATCTAGAGGTTTATTATAAAGAGAAAATGAGATTGCTTAATATGATAATTTATTTTAAATAATATAATGCATCTTAGAATTCAAAAAGGATGAGAAGTTTAGATGAAAATAAAGCAAGTATAATTTTATGCAATACTGGGAACAAAGAGCTACAACGATTTGATTATATTGCCGAACTTTGTAAGTTTTAAAAATGATCAATTTTATTTTATTATTTGGTTCCGTGTTTTGTTTTTTATTATCTTTTTAGGTCAATATAGAGCAAAATGCTATAAATGTAAAAAAATTGTACAGCGTATACGCGATCTTATTGATAACATATCCACAGTGAAAGAAGATGAGATTATTGGGGTATGTGACCATTGCAAAAGATCAAAGGGGGAAATTAAGTGTAAGAGGTGCGAATACGTTGTGAATAAGTTTATAAAAAATGAGGTAAAAAGTTATATGGACCGAGAACATCAATACCGAGTAAAACTAGATAAAATGCGTCAAATTTTGCTATCTATAATGCAGGGTCATATTATTTGCAAACACAATATTTACTTAGATTCCGAATCAAAAACACACCTAGATAATTTATTGGATAATTTAAATTTAACTATATCTTCAAGACAGCCTGTTATTGATAATTTTCCTGAAAAAAATGTGCACCATGACTTAACCCTAGAGAAAACCCAAGTATTATCGAAAGTGATTTCGAAGTTGAGTATTGAAACTAGAAATGATGTTACATTGGAAAACAGCTCTTCTGATTCTGATGTAATGTGTATTTGTAAATACTTGATGAGTCGAAAGCAAATGACATCTTTTGAAGAGTTTAATAATAAAAAGACTCCTTATTTAATGAATATTATATCTAGAAATACGAATAAGGCTAAATCTAATGCAGAAATAACAGAACAAAAATCTATACCAAGTGTGCCTCTAGGTACACCTAAATCACAAATAAGTAGAACAAAGAACCAAGATATAAGCAATAAAAAGTCTAATAATGATGTGTATGACATTTCTGCTAAAGCTACAAAACAAAAATCTATTTTAAGTGTGCCACCAAGTACACTTCAAGCACCATTAAAAGGAACTGTAAGAACGAATCATGGTATAAGTAAAAAATTGAATAAAAATATCCAAGACTTGAATGAGACAAACGTAAGCCAAAAAAGCAAATCTGTAAAAGATAAATCGCCCAAAGACATATCAAAAGAACCACAAGCACATTTTGATAATAACATAATGCTGAAAATGATAAAACAAAGGGGAAAAAATAGAACGCAGCTAAGAAAATCATTAGAAAAAGAAAATAAAACGAATATTTTTTCTAAGTCAGAGAACTTACCAATTATAAGATCACCGAAAAAAAGAGTAGATATCGAAGTTGATAAGTCAGAAAGTATTATAGAGTGCAAGGGAAATCTTCTCATTTACACAGATAAAATGATAAAAGGCTGTAATATAGTGCCTTATGACCCTCTATACAATAAAGAAGAAACAGTAAAACTTCCTTTGTTGTTTAAAATACAAACTGATTGTACTGCACCTCCAATAAATGCTGAAGAATCATGTTCGAAATATTCTTATGTAGAAGACAAGATAAAAAAACCTAAAAGAGATGGATCTATAGTTAGTTATGCATATTATATGAAATATTTGATAGTTGTCTCCTACTTTAGTACTTAATAATATAATTTTGTAATCTAGGATAACTCCGGCATTATTCTGTATAAATTATCAAATTCCGAATTTATAAAAAAGGGTTGGACAAAATTGCCAACAATTAAAACTATGCGAAGGGTATGTACTTCGATAGTCTTGTAAAATAATTATTTTAAGTACTAACATAAATACATGAAATTAATAATTTACGTATTTGAAACAAGATGAATATTTACAAGATGATGCCATGTGCCAAATTCGATTGGTTTGAACACCATAAGACGAAAACTTTATTTTATGATTCTCAAGAGAAGCTAGCGGAAGTATATGAAAACGGTTGTGGTAAATGGTTTTATAAGAATGGAAACGTTGCATTGGAATACTACAACGATGCAGGTTTAATTTTCCCATTAAATAATGAATATATTATTTGGATTTTAAAGTACAAAATGTATAATTTTTAATAGAATTTATTTGTTATTTTTAGAATTTAATTTGGGAAAGCGATGCGTTATATATAGTTCTGGTGAAGATTTGGAGACTAAGAAGAAAACACCAGTCAACGTCTTAGCATGTTTTGGTCATCTTGGACACGGTATTGTGTATGACAATTATGGCCATATTAGGTTTGTTGAATCATTATTGAGCAATAACTACTTATTGTACTTTGACTACTATATTTTACGCGGATTTTTTGTCATTAGTAGTAATAGTATATTATTTTTTCTATGGCTTTACTTACTTTAGACCGTTTTATCGAATAGTCGTATGCTATGGAAAAGGACTAATATGGTTTTAAGTTATAAAAGAAAAATATAAACGCACATAATAAAATTTTAGGTTGAAATATAATCAATCAGAAGGTTTAATTATTGATAAAAAAATTAGTCCACCAAGTCGCTGGAAGTGGCATACGTTGAACGACCCACCAATTTTACATCCAGTGTTCGTAAACACTTTTGAAAAAGATAGTACATATTTCGATAAAAAATTCAATAAAACTGAAAACATAAGAAAAGAGAACGAAGAAATGGTAGCGATTGAATTACAAAATTTGTTGAGAGAGAAAGCGGTTAAATTGCAACAAGAGTTTAAACCGTTCCAAATAAAAATTAAGACCCTTAAAATAAATGATTATTTTTCTTTGAGAATTATAGATCAAGCAAATATTTATATACAGTTCAGATGTGGGCGAATATGTTATAGGTTTAATATAGGAATGATACTGAAAAATGATGAAATTATTGGAACTGAGACAGCGGAGGTCACAGAGGTTGCGACGCCTTACGATCTTAACTTAGATAAAGCATCTGAAATGTAACTAACTGGTCTTCAAAATGCTAAAATAATGAAGAAGACTCATATTATTATATAGATATATGATAAATACGACTTGGTTATATATTAAATCTAATTCCTGTTTTTAATATACGTTACGTATTTTATTTTTTATTTATTACTATTCAGTAAACTTTAAATACCTATACATTTATAATAATCGATAAATGTTTAGCCATTTGTTCCTGGTTGGTATCGATTGATAACAGTCGTTAAGCCGAATCGAAGGTCCTTGATCGACTCGATACCCCCTGACAGTGAAGCCACTGTTACATGCGGCAAATTAAAAAAGGATGTGGCAGGTATAATTAAACGACGAGTAGGTAACCTCTTAATGTTTATTGCATTGCTAACATTTATTATTGCTGGTATAACTTTTAATATAAATCATGAACTTAAACGTATGATAGACATTAAATAATACAAACGTCATGTTATTTAATTTTTTTAATTGAAATTCTGATTAGGATTTATATTAATATTACTTGACGGCTCAATTCGCTTCAATTAGTTTTTTACTAAAACAAATCGATATCAAAGGTAATTTATCACTAATCAACTCCACATTAGGCGCCATTCGTCGTTCGTTGTATATGGATTGCCTTTAAAGATATCTATTGCTACATTAATAATTTCGTCTTTTTAAATAATATGTATAGTATAAGTACCTATACTCGTTCCTGCATGTTTAGATAAAGATATATTCGGCATGTATATTGTATATTAATCTCGGTCAATTAAAAATCGAATTAAACCTAACCCTTTAAGTACTCATTTCCAAGTATTACTATACTGCAATATTTGTACAAAGTTCTCATTGAAATTCATTAAACAAACAGACAAATCCTCTACGAACTGATTAAAAAGAAATGATTTCTATTATGTCTCAACGTGGGAACGAGTTTTATAAAAAATATTTTGACCCTTTGTTACAGTTCTACTTTAAATCACTTGATTCATTATATTGTGCTTCTAATAAACTGCCTGTATAACTCAATATGTAATTGTATTATTTCTTGAAAAACACATTAATATGATTTGGTAATCTGGAGAAGAGTGTATGAAATGAATGGAGAAGAATGTGTGCTGTGAATGAAATATGGACTATATCTACTAATTGTCAGTGGTTATTTTTATCAAACGGCACAACTTGAACATTGAAAGTGGACGTTGATAACGTGCAGTTCAATAATTAATACGAAAAGTAGCTACTAGGTAATATATTGGCCACTCTCTTTGTGTTAGAAGTAGCTCGCTTAACTACTTCATTAAGATTTCATTAATTTGGTTTATATCTTTGATTTTGAATTGAAGAATATGAAATATACTCTATGTCAATCAACTATAAAATAACGAATTTTATAGATTTATTTTACACATATAACTAAAGAAAAACAAACAATGACGACATATACCATGATGTGTGATTGGTGCAGTTGTCCTTTATTAGGTACATTGCTGTGCTTAAGATTGAGACTGTTTTAGATTCCAGAGAAGCAGTTTTTTTTCTATAATAAACATATAAGAAATTGAGAAGTATTGGTTTTATGTTGTTTTGATATATAATATAGTATTATATTAAAAAAGTAGCCTAATATACATAAATATAATAGATAAGGTAGGTAGCTCCGCAGTAAAGTAATATGTTCCTGTATTTAGCAAAGTTAGTACAGGTAGAAAATTAAATATCAATAAAACAATCATAGAATGGGACCATTTATTTGACATTAATTGTTATTATAATCTACGTCATGATAATAAAGTGTTTAAAAGAGTAGTTTCTCTGTACATTCTACAGATTTTACTTGTTGGTTTAAATAACTACATACAATTTGTAGTTTAAAAGATGCGGGTAGCTCTCACCTGTCTTCTCGATGAAATGAAAAAAATGATAAAAATCGTCCTGGTCTGTGATAAATATTCTTCCCCCATCCAGCCTTGTCATTGTTGTCATAATTTTCTTTTCTCATTCATTGTAATATGAAGTGACATAAATATTTTTAAATGTTTAATTATTTTTGTCTAATTTTAACATAAATAAGTCATGTTTATATTCTATACTACTTTACAAGTGTTCTAATATAAACAATTTTAATTTTATTATAATACTTTAATTTTTTTCTATTCGTTTTATACGAATTAGCTAGCGTAAATACCTAATGTAAATTTTATTCAATATACAAACCTACCTCACGACATGTCAATAAGTAAACATTTAATAAAAAAATCGGGTAGGGCTGTGTCGGCGAACAACGCCGAGCTGGTTTTACGTGAAACGTCTATTCCAGCGACTCGCTTTTAATGTTTTTGTTTTTTTTATAAATATTTTGCATATTTGAAAACAAATTAGTAAAAGTAGTGATGTTTTGAATATAACAACGGAAAAAATATCATAAATAATTTGTATATCAGTTTTCAGATAATAACAACGGTTACTATGTCAACCAAGCAGGCAGTGGTAGCCCAGTGGTAACGCGCTCGCTTGGGAAGCTGAGTGAAGCGGGTTCAAATCCCGGGTCTCGCACCTCTGATATTTTCATGTGCGAATCATTTCTAACATGATTACCACTTGCCTTACGGTGAAGTAAAAACATCGTGAGGAAACCTGCATGTCTAAGAGAATTTAGCAAGTATTCAAAAGACATGTGAAGTCTGCCAATCCGCACTTGGCCAGCGTGGTGGACTACGGCCTGATCCCCCTCCTATTGAAGGGAGGCCCGTGCCCAGCAGTGGGACGTTAAAAAGGGCTGAATACACTTTTGCAACCTAATGCAACCTATTTCGTTACGGTCCACTTTTCTGATGGTATGTGGATGGTCGAAATTATTGGAAATATTGAATGTTAATGATATAGGTTCATTATTACGTATTATAAATTTCTCAAAATTAAACTCAACACTACAATATTCTTATGCAATTATTTTATATAGAAATCTATTATTCTTATATATTATGAAATATATTTAAAATTATTTTAAGATAGTTTTAGCAAACCATAAAAATATGAATATTTTATAGAACTATTAATAAAACATTATATAATAGGTGTTTGCAAGTGTTAATAATAATATATTTTTAATACGTATTTTCTGAGATCAACTGATAAAGGTACGTTTATAGCATTATCTATTAAACGTCTACTTTTTCTTCTATTCTTCATTGCTTATTTAAGATTCTTCTTTTGCTTTTAAGAAATACGTCAGAAGATCTATGGGCAGAGGAAACACGATGGTCGAATTCTTTTCCGCAGAAATGGTGTTAAGTGTCTGTAGAAATAAAGTTTATTATTAACTTTATAATATTTTTAAAAATGTATATTTTTTTAATCTAGAAGTATCATATAAAATTGTGTATCGAAAGTTTGTGAAGAGTGTTACTTTTTAATACTATTGTGGCTCAACGTATTTGAGTGAAAATTAAAAAAAGATATAGCTTATATCCTGAGTCAAGCCGTGGTGGTGGTGGAAGAGTAGTTTTATTTATAATGGTGTACACAGGAAGGTATGAGAAAGTATGGATAGGAATAGCCATACAGACTTTTATTATAAGACTTTTTAAGAAGTCGATATCTAGATATACAAATAATTAATTATACTATAAAAAGACGTATGTATCAAAGTAACTTTATGGTAGCTTATTTTAATCTAGGGATTTTTTGATTGATTTGCTGATATGCAAATATATCTTATAATGATGAAGCTAAATTAAAAAAAAATATAAGTACGAAAAAGCTTATTAATTGCCTGAAGATAGCGCAGTTGCAGAGCAGCAGGACTGTCCCCAATGACTTCAGAAGCTTCACGTAAAGCTCTTGAGGCTTTCTGTTCTCCTTCTGCTGCGATCACCTTGGCGCGAGCTTCTCGTGCTGCCTCCGCCTCCGCTGCCATTGCACGTTGTAGTTGAACGGGCAAACGCACATCTTTACTGTATATTTTCAATATGAACATTTTGTTGTATACCATAAAGGACAAAGTAACCTCTTGTATGTCGGTGGCATCATTTTTAATTTCTTTCGCCAGTAAAGAAACTTTAGACTATATTTAGAAGACTATATAAAAAGATGTTCTATGATATATAGTGATTATATAACGATATTTTTGCTTCATTACTACTTAGCGAGCTGGTTTCTTCTTTAATAGACTTCGACGTAGCCTTGTAATTATGATCTAAGTTTCATTACTGATGAAGGAAAAAAATCATGTTAAAAAGTTATATACCCCTTTTAGACAAAAATATCATAGGGTTCACATAATATAATATAAAAGCTTATACCATATTGTGGTTTTGTATCATGAAAAATATATTCCAGATATAAGAGGTATAAAAAATGTTCAAGAAAGGTGTAGTTGGTCTTAGTAACTTATTAGTCAGAATACTGCTCACATGAACGAATTACTGCTCAGTAATAATCACATACATACAATAATTAATAATTTACATGAATAATGATTCTCTCTTTTTGTTATTTTAATCTATACATATATTATAAAAAGGAAAGATTTGATTTTTTGTTTGTTTGTTTGTACCGAATAGGCTCCGAAACTACTGATCCGATTTAGATGAAATTTGGTAAGAAGATAGTTTGAGACCCTGGGAAGGACATAGAATAGTTTTTATCTCGGAAATCATCCTTTAAGGGGATGAAAATGGGGATGAAAGTTTGCATGAGGAATCAACTTAGAGACGAACTCGAGCGAAGCGAGGGTGAGTCGCTAATTTTTTAATAAAAAAGTAGTATACTACTGCATCCTAAAGTAATTCATTTATAAGAAATTCATGTATATAATAATATGATATACATTTAATTTATAAAGGATAAAGCACTGCGTCACACGATTCGCTGAGTCCCTTTCAACTATGGTAAAAAACTTGATGTTCATTTGCAGAATATAAAAAGCTCTTTTTAAATTCCATTTAAATTAAAATTTCTATGAAAAGCCTACGCTTTCCTTGGAATTCAAAAGATAAAACAGAATACGAGCTTTATATAAATAAGCTTCATTTTCTAAGACATCTAGTCACTGATGTCTTTAAAGAGAATAGGAACTTTAATATCGTATTCCCTATATCTATGTACTTTTTCGTAATCATGCTTAGAATTAGATCACAAAAATAATAGATGTTATTTCTCACTTGGGACGTAACATTCAGATCTGATTGCGTATACTAAATTTAACTTTTAAATTCAATATTTTTTTAAATCCTTTCAAATTGTTTTAGGATAATTTATTTATATTATTAGGTTTATTTTAATATTGTTAACACCAAAGATACCTATAGGTTTATAAGCTCTCCAATCTACACGTCTACATACCACCTGTGGGTAACGTAGGGCCTGAATAGACATATTACTAGTTGGCACGCTATTGATTGCATGTTTGCAATGCATTAGTGGGATCAATACGTATACAATAATAACGTCAAGAAATTCTTCATCCAGATATTCTATTTGTATTTCCCTTGCAAATATAAATGATCAACATATAAAGAAAAATAATAATAAAAAAAAATAGTTTAGGAGATTTTTTATCACAATTAACTACTTGCGATCACCATCACATTAGCTTCACTTGACCCCTAAGTACATTTTGCTCGGACCTAAGTAACTTTTTGCAACTAAATTATACCCCACGGGAGTCTTCACGTAACGAGATAAAACGTTGCTTAAGTATCTCCCCGTTCCATAAATTATCTCGTATCATTGTACTTTTGCTACGATGTTGAAAAAATCGAAGAAACTAACGATTTTCGCATTAATTATAATATTAGTTTTGTAATATTGTAATTTTATCAGTATTTTGCTATTTTCTATATATAATAAGTTAAAGCAGTAACTGTAACACTTATAAAGTAGCATATATAGTTAGTAGTTTTATCTAAATAAATTGCAATTTGATCTCTGTGTACATATAACACAGGAAAGGATCATAGTTAGGTACCATACAAAATTAAGTGCACTACTAAAACATAATATTTGCATAAAAAGACTATCTAATTAATAATATAGGCAAGCTTGCTCATTCTCTAATACTTGTTTAAAAGGAGAGTCCGTGCTCTATACATTTGTATAATATATAACTATAATTTATATTAGTTTGTTTTAAATTGGCTAATTAATAATTAATTTGATCGATGTTCCGATTATTTTTAATTGTATCGCAATTATAGAGAACATGAAACCGCATTATAATGAGAAATATTTGATTATTTCAGATATTATTTCAAAATTTAGTCTCATGATAACTCATGTTCATTGTCATGTTCTTTAATATTTAATAGCTATGAATCTATTAAAAGACGTTATGAATCGATATAGGATGATTGAAGTAAAGGATGACTTAGGTGCTGTTTGGCACTAAAAATATGTAGACATAAGTGAGTCTTATTGGCTGTGTTATAAACATTAAATTTTTTTAAAATCATAATTTATTTATTGGTGCAAATATCTATTAACTTAACTTTTGCTTCTTGTATATTAAGCTAAAGACAATTGTTATTATATTTTTAATATATTGCGTTATTTCATAAAAAAAAATCCGTATTGAAAAAGTATATCCATATGAATCACTTTTGTTCCACATATGTCAGGAAAAATGCAATAAAAGAAGCGCCTTTAAAATTGGGAAAATTCCTGTTATGTTAAAAGTGCAAGCTAAAATTATATAGGTTTTTTATTTTGGCATTACTGCAAAATGTAGGTAGGGACTGCTTAACTGAAACCGTATTCCTCTTTTATGTTTCTTTTATAATCATAATGGTTATTAAAATTTGCGGTATCAGCGTAATTCTGAACTATATCCAAAATTACGTATTTAATAATACTGTTTGGAAAGTTGCTTATTTTATTCGAAAGTTTAATTCTTGAAAAAGAGATAATAAACATAAGGAATGCATGATTTGTGCAGAAAATTGTTTATAGTTGATATTAATTTAAAACTAAATTAAATAAAACATTTCAAACGTATAAGATAACTTAAGACGCGAGATTCTTTGCAATTAACAATTTCATTACTATCTCTACATATTAATTGAGCATAGCTTAAAAGATGTAAGCTGCGTATTTCAAGAGAGCTCTCAACAGGTAAGCTTTTGCAACTTGATCAACAAACACATATGTACTATGATAGCTTAGTCAATTTGTAGGTACATATACCTTCCTCACAAATATATATATTCTAAATACATAATACTGCAATCGAAATAGATAGATATCCATTATATCGATTTATTTGGTCGAGTCATTTGTTTTTAATGTCCAATAACAAGCCTTGTTTCATCTATACTAATAAATGGAGAGCCGATTTTTTGTTCGGTTATACTGCAATAACTACTGAACCGATCGGAATAACACTCATACCATAAGATGCAGCGTGTTTCGGAGAAGGTTTTAGTATATAATATGTTGATGATTAATGTACTATGCGGGCGGAGCGGCAGGAAAATGCTAGTATTATATATAATAATTCTAATGCAAGTTCAGTGTAGAAGTAGTACTAAAATGATACAATAGATAATATAGGAGAACTCAATCTCTAGTCTTTAATAAAATTGAGATCAATCAAAGTTAAAAAAAACGTCAAAAATATTTTCAGCGGTTTGAAAATAATTAATTGTTTGTTGTACTCAAAAAAATATTCAATTTACTATCGTCATACTTTTAAAAACTTAAGGCGCAATTGTAATTTATAACTTGTACGTATGCCAAGTTTATAAAGATTGTATTTCTACTCGCTTTTACTACGAATATTGCATTAGAATTATTGATTCAATAAAGAAACGTTTGAACATAGTAGGTATTTGTGAACTATATCATTAAATGGATACATCACACATTGTGTATGATCAATGAAATATAAATCGTACACACCCGGTGTTATGGATGGTATTGGAGTACAATATAATATTATGTGGCCTAGATTTCAGACTTTTAAGTCAATGTTTTTAGTAAACAAAAGTGAACGCAAATAATATTCCGTGCTAGTTTTTTATAGTCTGTTAATTCATTTACTGTTATTTAAGTTTTATTTAACAATGCGATGAATATTTATTTATCATCTATTTGAGTGAATAAATATCTTTTTTTACAATTTCCGTAGTAATTTAAAATATTACAATAATACCTAATATCTTTTGTATAATTTCACCAATAAACTCACTTTAGAACATAATAGGAGCATACAGCTTGTCCGACAGTATCACGAGCTTGAGTTTGGCAGCAAAACTACCAAGTAAAGTTTGCCAAGTCACAGTTTCCATGATATAATATCTATTAAGTACTTACATTTCAACTCGTTCCACCTTAATGCCCCAGGCCTCGGTCGCTTCGTCGAGAGATATCTGCATGTTGCCGGAAATGGTCTCCCGCTCACTCAGGATCTCATGAAGTGGCCTAGTTCCCATCGTATTGCGGAGAGTAGTTTGAGCTAAAAGCCTCGTAGAGTGGTGGGCATTTTCCACGTTTGCAATGGAAATTGTTGCGTTATGAACACGGTAGTACACCACAGCGTCGACTGATACGGTCACCGAGTCCTTGGTTAGCACCTTTTAATAAATATTAGTTATTTTTATTTATATTTTAATTGTAATGTAGGGTTTGGTTTGATAATAGGTGTAAAAAATCTATACATAAAATTCTAATTGATTCGAATCTGTAAATATTTTTTTTATAGAAAATCTTATTTAAATAGTCATTATCGATACAGAGACTGAATTTATAGTTTTTAGAATTTTTGTCTGTCTGTCTGTCTCTCTGTGACAGCATCACGGAAAACCACTAGAGGGATTTTGATGAAGTTTTGTGTAACGGTAGCTGGTTATCTAGGTCAACATATAGGATACTTTTTACTGCGGGAAAATCTCATTTCCGAGAAATCTATACTTTACGTTAAAAGGTAACTAAGGACAAATCAGAGCGTAGCGAGGGTGAGTCGCTAGTAAAAAAATAAAACTATTTTAATTCTATGGCTTAAATAAAGACAAGAGTAATTAATTAATTATATTAATTTATTATTAATTAAAATTGAAATAATTTCATGCTTATTATGGATATTTATCGAAATGTAAAAGTAATCAATTTTGAAAAATATATTTATAAAAAGACTTAGCATTTTATCAATTTTTTTAACATTTTTAACTGAATTTGAAAATTCGAAGAGGTTGTACATTTTTATAGCAATGAATTAGCAAATGATTACATTATACATATTAGACTCGTAAATCCATTTACCTCTTGAGGGGGTACATCGTAAGTGCGGGTGCGGAGATCCACGCGGGCGTAAGAATCTATACAGGGTAGTATGAAGAATATTCCTAAACAAAAATAAAGTTTTAATGAGTTCATTGAAAAGCTTTTATCGTTTGCAACATAATTTGAGCTGAGAAGAAAAATATACAGCTTTTTACTTACCGGGTCCTTTAGCGCCTCCCGAAAGTAATCTTCCTAAGCGAAAGATTACGGCTCTTTCGTATTCCTGCACGACCTAAAAAGCAAGTTACGACTTTATTCTGAGGTGTAAAACGACCAACTTTTTTAAATATATAATAGCCGCTGTACTTAAAGGCCGGCCAAGTTTATAAAATGTGTAGTTTTTTTATTTGCATATTGTGAACTTAATTTAATATTCACGGGTTCATTCGGTGTAAAATAAAGTTATGGTTCAAATTGTAGACGACAAATTTTTTAAATATTCAAATATAGCTTCAAGTTTTAATATGTACTTTTAAAACTTCTTTGGTCGTGTTGGTCTTCTTTCATTTAGCCTTTCGTTTAAATATGTATGCTTTCGGTGGAGAAAATTTTACATCATTTGCTATGATCTCATTAATTCTATTTATTCAAAAAGACGTATGAAATATGAAATATGAAAGCTTTATATGTTTATAAGTTTAATTTTGTAAGAGTGGTTAATATAAGGTATAGATTAAACTTAGAAGTAAAATTATACTTTGGTTAAAGCTCCACAAAACGTTGTGGAACACTTGAGTTTTACCTCAACTTTTTTTCTTAGATGTATTTTATTAAGTACATTACTTTTTTAAATAAAACTATCTTTTAAAAAGATAGTTTTATTTAAAAATGTCAAACATTCGCGTAAATCTAAGAAAGTATTATGTGAACAAGTACATTACTCATAACATTTGTTTATCTAGTTATTAATTACATGTAAGAGACCCTTACTATTGTAATTTTTCTTTAAAAAATTTGCATGAGGCCGTAAAGTAACTGCTTTGTCTTGGTTCAAAAAGCCTTTGTCATACGAAAGCGAGCTTGATTATAGTGCAGAACTATGATATCGGGATAAGTAAGTTTTCTTTTTAACCTTGTTTACTTACAGCACTCGGTGGATTATTTCATAACTCCAGCAGCGAAAGAAAATTTACCGAAATGCTTTATTTTAATTCAGCTATAGAGGAACATCGTCAAGTAATCTATAAAGAAAAGGGTCTAATAATATATTAAGTGTATTTAAAGTAACAAAAATGTTGTCTTTATATTTACTAAAACCTACTTCGTTAAGGCTGTTGGGTGAGGTACCTAAGATTTAAGTATATTTACTTAAGTAGAATTTTTATAGTTTTTAATTGTAACTCAGTGATTTTGATGATATTAAGAATCAGTTTTTAAATTAAATTTTTATTTTTTTATTTTATTATTATATGCTTACATACTATATATTTAAACATAAATATTTTATATAGAATATGAGGCATGTTTTATACCTATTAACACATCCGAGTGATGTTTGCCAGCTTCTAATCAGTTGAAAATAATTTGAATGTCATGTCAGTCATTAAAGTGACGTTGCCTCATGCAAAAGTCGAAACCCCAGCTCAAAACTAGGTCGAGAGGCAGGTACACTTCAGGTACCTATACTCGTCATATTTAACTCATTTATTGACCCATTTGCATGTAACCCGAGGAAAAATAAATACAAGTTTTAGATGAACGAACTTCTTTGCTTAAACAGTTTGTTAGAATTACTATTAACTAGGCCCGTGCCCAGCAGTGGGACGTTAAAAGAGCTGATTTTCATGTATTTCATTTATTATTCTCTATTTTCATTTACTATTGATGGTGTCAGCCACCGCCTTCGGAAATATGTGATTAGGTATCTATAGTAAATGAAAACTACCAATCAGTTGTTTACTTTTTATTTTTTTTTGGAATAATTTTTTAAAAGTTTTTTTTATTAATTTTTTAAAAGTTTTTTTATTTCTTTGTATGTTCATACGCGCACGTTACGTGGTTCAATTGTCTTTTGAACTGGCAGATCCGGAGATAAATATTGAAGTCTCTATAAAATGTAAACCAAATGAAAATTCAAGAAACATGAAGAAGCAATAATAAATCAAGTCGAAATAAAAGATTTGCGTTAACATTTGTCATTTCTTATACTAAATTATTTCATGAACCTTGCGCTAAAACTTACATCACAAGTTAGGGATAGGAGATAAAGTTATTTTCTTTTTCTTATTTAAAGTAAAGGTAGTTAATAATTAAGGTATTTTTTTCAAACGTTTATTTATTGCAGAAAATGACTTGCTACGATTAGCTCCAGCAATAAACCTAGTTAGGCTTCGTAAATGATAAATAATTTTGATAGATTTTTTATACTGAAGTTAGCTTTAATGAGTATACGAGTATATACGTCATTGTTTCTACATCTACGTATACATAAGAATTAAATTATTTTCTACGAAGTATGTATGTTTTCATAATAAATGTCCTATCCTAAAGAAATTTGTTTTCCAATTCAAAAATTAAAAAAAAACTTTCAGTATAAAATGTTACAATTTTTTATTGAAAATCATGAATCTATCATTAGTTGGGAAAGAAAAAGTTCTCATAAAACTTGCAAACGAAATTCAGACATAGAATATAGAGACATTATGTAAAAGTATAGAAATTATGGATAAATTTTCAGTTTGATACTTTTTATCTAAATTTCCAGCTTTATAATCCTACTTTATGTTCTTCATAAAATACTTAAGTTCGTTCATTATTTTACAAATTACCATTAAAGTTTAAACTGGTGAGTTTGCAGTATATAATTTTGCACACATATAAAGCGTACATACATTATGTAAAGAAGCTAAGTAACTAAGAAAGAATTTGTGAAAATTCATCGCCTTAAGGCTTAAAATAGACGTGACGAAAATTTGTATAGAATATCATAGTTTTTGATATTAGAAATATGGAAATTGGTTAGCTTATAGCACATAATATCTATTCCGTTAAAGATTTAGCACGAAGCTCTATCTGTTTCATGAATATTTACTAAAACCATCACAAGAAAGAACTATGCATTCATTTTTTTCTTACTTCGTATACATTTAAACTAGTATTGAATATATTAACAGTCTTTTGTCTTTTACGAAACCATGGCTAGTAGTAAAGTTAGTGACGCTATATTCTATTGCGTTTTAGATAAAGCATGATATGGTGACGACGTACGCGACTTTTTTAGATTGACAATTGTAAAAAGTTATTTTAGCATATTATCTTCTGACTAGCGGCTCACCCTCGCTTCGCTCGGGTTCGTCGCTAGGTACGTTTTAAATAGATATAAAAAGAAAAAATCTTTCTTTCTCACATTTTAATTATATGTTTTAATACTTACCTATTCCGGACTAAGAGAAATCCAAAAATTAAAATATCATAAAAATTGGAACGCGGTCGAACGGGATAAAAAGTATCCTATGTCCTTCTCCTGGCTCTAAACTACCTCCCTGCCAATTTTCAGCTAAATCGGTTCAGCCGTTCTTGAGTTATAAGCGAAGTAACTAACACGACTTTCTTTTATATATATAGATTTATTTGTTCATGGGGTGTATATCTTATAATGGAGATTCAATTTTAATTCATTTAATTTGTTATGCTGGTATCACAATACAATGCGAACAAATTAAGCTAACGGCGACTTTTAAGATATTTTTAAAGCTTTACCTAATATCTTAATTGTAGTAAAATGCTACATATATCTATTAACCTATCTAGCTTATCTAATCTTTAAAAATGAAACGAACTTCGCTTTAGCTCTTTAGGGAACTGATTTATAAAAGTTAGATATTTCAATAATTATAGTTAAGAAAATTATTTTATGTTGACTGAAACTGAAAATTATAATATTCGTACAATAGTTTAAAACAAGAAATGTTAGTTTGATATTTAATTTATTTTTTATTTATAAAGACAATATAAAGTTGTTCGTGATTGAGTAAACAAAAGGAATAATAATAATTACTATACAAGCTTTAAAGTTATATATAACCTTCTATGAGGCATATAAACGCAAAGCTCAAGCACACATTTTAAAAAACTTTCGCCAAGCACTAAGACATAAATTAATGTACGTAAGTAGTGTTCTTAAGAACTTATGAGAAAATAAATATTAACTTAATAAATTCTTATATTTACCTTAAAGCATATGAATAAGGAGAATGGCATCGTCACAATGACAAGGATCCAGGAGAGTACCACCAGAATCTTGCCGCAAGTTTTTGATTCAGAATCAACATCTTCATTGGCTAAAATTTTAAATATCCATTACAATATATTTAAATAAATACAAACAATTTATAACTTTATTTTTACCAGTTATCGTAGGATACAAGTGTTGCCTACTGGACATCTCGATTAAAGTACTCATAGTTATAAAAATATGAACAAAAAATAATTTCGATAAACGTAGGCCACGTTGGATTATTTATCGACGACTGACCCAGGCAAAGGTAGTAAGGCTATGGTGTCATTAAAAATTCACATGAGAAATGAAATATGACAAATCGAACGCGATTCCTATTTCATTATTTTTATAACTTCATTTTATTAAAAGGAAAATGATTATAAGTTTTCCACTTTCATACGTACGAGTCGATTCAGCAACTACCATTGTGGTGGAGTCGGAATACCGCGCCAGGATTGCGATTTATGCACGTCCGCTCGTAACGAAAGACGGGAGTTTACTGCCAGGAAGCTGCGAGCGTCATAGACTAAGTGAGGAAATGCTAGCAAAGCACCTTTTGAAAAAAGTACGACACGACCAATGAAGATCTAGCTTATTAGAATAAGTGTATACAATAAAGATAGTTTTTAGTAAGAGGTTTAAGATTTTATATTATTTTTTTATGTTTTAACAAGTTTTATATGATTTACATTTAGTTTAAGCGACATTATTATTCGTTAATATGTTAGCGAAGCATATATGTAATGTGTAAACTTTTAGTTGTAGAGGCATATATCATAAGACTTTTAAAATCTTATTTTAATTAAATATTAAATTCACAAATTCTATCCAACAATTAATAATCTATACATATAATAAAATTGTAACTAAGCTTAATTTGTACATTAGATATTTTTTGGAAAATCTGATTGAAATAAACATTATTATCGATGATGATGATGTGATGTTCTCCTGACCGATTCCGGCCACGGCGGCCAATCTCATTGAGACTAGCCTACTGCGCAGGAGATATTATAGTGCACAAGTGTACGCGCAGACACTAGTGCACTCCCTATTCCTGTCACTCTCATACTCCGGTGGGACGACCACTCGACACGACCAGTGAGAGCTAAGGCGCAGGACCGACGGCTTTACGTGCTCTCCGAGGCACGGGGGTGAAACACCGCCAACTTCCCAACTCCGGGCTGTTACTGAGGCTTACTATACAGAAAGTCTCGATAACTAAACTTGGCCTGATAACTAAACTCGAACCCAGGACTTCCGGGTGTGCAGCCATACACTAGCCCCTACACCACCAAGGCAGTTAATTATTATCGATACAGAGGCCGAAGTTTTTAGAATTTTTGTCTGCCTGTCAGGCGAAGCCGCGGGCAATGCTAGTGATTAATATGTACCTCTATTTTTTACATGTGAGTACATATTATATCTATTCCTTCCTTAAATTACAACAATATTAACTATTTTTAGAGACATATTATAAACCAAAATGTTCATATCAAACTATTATTTTCATTATAAAATAAGATTACATCTGATATCCGATTATATTTGTGATTTTCAATAAATTCCAATTTTAATGTATCATTTCTGTTAGCTATTTAATCTTTGGTCGTGTTTCGATAGTGATCCGCCCCATGCCGACGCGGAGTTTGGGCAACTGATAATATCTTTACTTGGAAGGAACAATGGACCAAGCAAACTAAGGTAGTCGTCCTATATAGAACTATTGTTGCAGCTCATATTCAGCTATTTAATAACTACATTGATATGTTACTAATTATTTCAATATTAACCTTTAATCTGTTCGTTCATAATAATAATTTTCTACAATATACGAGTATGTATAAGCAATCATAACAATTCAATTTAGTGATCATAGTTTAAAACTAACTTCATATTCATTTCAGTCATTTATCATTTACACCATAATTTTTATCTTTACTTAATATCGAATTTTCTATTGTGTTAGCCAAATATAGAATTATAGATTTAAGATATTCGATAATAATATGTATGTCTTTGACTCACCAAAATGTGGGTAAATAAAAGTTACAACACTAAGTAACAAAAACTGAAAGACTTTATATTGTACTGGGTAAACAGCTATATGTATTATAAGACTCGTGGCACTCGCCCTTAATGATCGTGATACATACCCATGACCTCACATCAGTGAGGTGGTGTAGTTATGGTGTAGTTATGGGAGAAGCGGAGATTATTACTTTTTATACACAATACAATAATTTCATACACAAAATTCGTCCTAAGTATTCTTTCGTCCTAACTATCCTTTGTTATAAAATAATAACAATTTTAAAAAGATTTTTCAAAAATTATATAATGTACAGATTCGGCTTAGTTACAATTTTATTATATGTTTAAATCAGAATTAGTTGAAACTTGGTATTAATGCTCTTTAATACAATCAAATAAATACATATTTTAGCATTTTTCGAAATTCATTCCATAAGGGGGTAGAATGAGGTATGAAAGTTAGTATGAAATTCTGTAATTGATACCCGGAAAGTTGGTATTTACCTTTGAAATAAAAAACTACAACTTAAGCGAATCTAGAGTTTCATTCTAGATATAATATTAAAAATTTGATTTGACAACATATAAATTCAATGGAAATTAAAGTTGAGCAAATTTTTAGGTCCACGCGAGCGTAGCCGCAGGCAATAAGCTTCAGAAAAATAATAATGGCACTTTATAATGTTGTTAAAAATGTGTAAGAAATACAGTTAGCGGAGCATACTAAATACTTAAAATGAAAATTTATTTAGAGAATATACTTATGTTTAACATCTTTTAAGATACAGAATATTTTGAGTTATGATCGCTAAAATTAAATTTGTTTTCCATGTATCTTTAAGAAATAATAAAACTTATTTTTGCATAATCTGATCGCGGGCGAAGCCGCAGGTTCTGCTAGTTATTTATAAAATAAAGGAAAATTTATAAATTACTGCAGAACCCGCGGCTTCGCTCGCGCTAAAACTACAAAAAAGTCTAAAAAGGTAAGCTTCATACAAACTTTCATACCTTATTTTACTCCTATATGAAATAAATTTTGAAAAATGGTAAAACACGTATTTATTTAATTGTATTGAAGAGCATTAATACCAAGTTTCAAGTAATTCTGATCATAAATATTTTTTCGATTGTATTACAACGTGTTTTCCCGTGGGAAGTAGATGATCTCCCGCGGTAAAAAGTAGCCTATGTCACTCCAACTATCTTCACACAAAAAATCACGCCAATCCATCATTCCGTTTTCACGTGAAAGAAGGACAAACAAACAAACAAGCAAACACACTTTCACATTTACAATATTAGTATGGTCTTATTTTCCGTTTTATTATAAATCCGTTATTGCAATCATATTATTATATAGTGTGGGTGTTATAATAGAAGCGTCTGCAGATTTTATTGGCAGTAAAAGTTCAGGTAACTTGTTGATCTAGTATTCAATTTCTTGTAGTCGCGGAGATAGCGTAGCAATTTTGTGCGAAATCAGGAAAAGGATGAATGGAAATTAGGTCTATGAGTGAATTTAACATTCAATATTTCTTTCATGTCAGGATAATAACCGTTAGCCGCACAGCGTATGTACTTTTTGACGCTGATAGATGATTCCCTTTCTCTAGTTTAAAATACGATTCACGATTTCTTTTATCATAAAAAAACCAATATGTGAATTAAATTAAGTATTTAAAGATATAGAATTACATCTTGTCTTCAATTAAACTCATTTTTAGTATTTTTTAGTTAAAACCTGAAAATTAATTTTGGCACAGTCAGGAACCTGTAGCCATATGTAAGCTCTAACGCTTATTGAGAGACTTTTGGAATTTTAATGAAGTAGAGGATTTTGTTACATCTTATAACTTTAAACGAGCAATTCTTGTACATATATATATAATATATAATCTGAATCTCGGAAACGGTTCCAACGATTTTCATAATATTTAGTATACATGGGGTTTCAAGGGCGATAGATCGAACTAGATTAGTCTTATGTCTGGGAAAACGAGTATTTTCGAATTTTCAAAATATAGTCGATAATTTTGCACGCTCGGGCATAAGCATAATGGTCAAGCGGCCAAGGCAGATTGACAATCGTAGGTGTCCGGGTTCGAATCTCGGCCGGATTCAAAGGGATAATTTTTTTTGTTTTTTTTTGCATTAATTCAAGTTTTTAGATTTTTTTAAAAGAAAATTGTACTTTTGACCAAAAACTCCGAGCAAAGCTCTGTGCCCAGGTACTATTACTTTAGTAGGCCTAAATTACGTTTGAAGCTTTTTTGTTACGCTTAGATATGTATTCATAAAAAAAATTACATTTTATATAAAATTCATAGTCATGAAACAATTCTATTGTTTAGCTGTATTTTTGCTTGGGTGTTTTTCTTTTTATTACGACCACTCGATTGGATGAAATGAAATTGTATCATTTTATTATTTCTGATAATAAATTCTCTCTCTTTATATTGTGGATTAAATCAAATAAAGATATGGTCAGACGAATGTTTTAAAAGCTTTTAAGCTTGTATTACATCTTAACAAAAAATATTTTGATTTAGAGGTTTACTTTATTGTGCTTATATTTGCTCTTTAGTAAGTAAATATTATTATGAAATAATCTGATCTGAACGCATCTGTGCTATTTATAATTCTATCTAAATCGTTTTAACTATTTTAATAAATTCATTGTGTAAACTCAATTTTCATATATATATTTTCTCAGACACGCAGGTTCTTCCTCACAATGTTTTCATTCATCGTAAGACAAGTGGTAATCATGTTAGAAATGATTCGCACATGAAAATATTAGAGATGCGAGACCCGGAATTTGAACCCGCTTCACTTGGTTTCCCAAGCGAGCGCGTTATCACTAGGCTAACACTACCGCGTACTACAATAATGGAACATAAATGGCGTACGTAAGCTTTTGGATTCAACGTCGGTTACGGATTTAATACATAGTAAATTACCTCGAACGTGCCGCCGTTTTATTCTTTTCTGACTTAACTACTCGTCTCGTGTTAGTCACATATGTTTATTATTTATATATCTGTGTAAGTATAAATTTTAAATAACAAAGAATAAAAATTAAAACCTAATAAAAAATCCAAACGTTTTTAAATGACTCGTCCGTTAAACCTCTTTTTCTTAGGAACAAAAGTCTTTTAGAGGAGTAAAAAATGAAATTTATAGGCCAACTAGCGCCTCACCGTCGCTTCGTTCGGGTTTGTCACTAGATACGTTTCGTAGACAGACAGACATAAATTCTAAAAACTATAGATACGGCCTCTGTATCGATAATAATGACTATATCAATAAGATTTTCCAAAAAATATGTAATGTACAGATTCGACTCAGTTAGAATTTTATTATATGTATACAATACAATTAAAAACAACAACCATGTTTATTTAAAACAAATCAAAATACCTATACATATTAGTTCTAATTTAATATAACATATACATTTAGTGGAAATAAATTTTTAACTTGAACTTTTTATTTTGATTAAGATTTTTTAACAAATATTTTTTAATACAAATGTTATAATATTATATGAACATGATATTGGATTAGTGTAAACAGTAGTAGCAAAGTAAGAATTCTAAAGTGTTAGGCTTGTCAAACCAAACAAAATAAGCCCAAACTCAAAGTATCTACTATTAGTCGGTGAAGAGTTCCACCTTCTGGCCTTACCATCAGATCAGGTCAACAATACCGAACCACTGTACTATTAACGGAAATAGAAACACTTGCAAAGTTTCAAGTCAATATGACAATTAGAAGTAGGTTAAATTCATTATTAGCTATTTTTCCACCCTTAGGAGTGGTATTTTGTTTAATGGGACCAATTTGGAAGTATACCCTTTCAAACAAAACAAAAATTGTCCAAATCGGTTAAAAAATGACGAAGTTCTGAGGTAACAAACATAAAAAAAATACAGTCGAATTGAGAACCTCCTCCTTTTTCAAGTCGGTTGAAAAGATACGTGTAGGTCAGCCGTTCAACTTTGCCTCATCTTGAAAGCAGCAGCCACTACTAAGTCGGTATTATTATGAATATTTAATGAGTTTGTAGGATATGAAAATATAATATATTTAAAAATAGAATCAAACACAATCTATATTCAGAAAGTTAGTGTTATAATTTTTGACTTACACTAATAATTGTTACTTTGTAGTAAATATATATATAAAAAACGCATACGTTACGCAAAAATATTTCGTTCAAAATCTCTTTTGTTCATCACTATCAAAAGAGAATAATGGACTCAATTTTTTATAAATTTTATTCAAAATTATCATCACAAAACATTATTAGTGCATGGTTGTTGTACGTAATTCAGGCAGAAGCCTCTATTATCTATATCCACTGGCGCCTCAACGTTGTCGGCGTGGAACCAAAGACGAAAAGGCTTTACTGTGCCTGAAAAAATAAAAAATATTTTCGAAGCAATGCCAAGTAAGATGCTTAAACAAATTTGTTTTATTATTATCAAACCTTTAAAAGTTTAAATATAGCTGTGTAACCGGAAGACAGTTATTTACAGTATAAATTTTACACTATAATATGAAGTTAAAGCTTTAATTAACTATAAACACTTATAAAAGATATTAAAATTAAGTTTCTGGAGAGTTTATAATATTTAATTTGAGGCTTTATATAGAAAATGTCCAATGCAGACTGTTGGTTTTTATTTTGATTTTAGTTTGATAAAAATATAATTGTAATTCTTTATAATTAAAATATTTAAGTGAAAAAGAACAAATGGATTATTAATTCTGTTAAAATTTTACTGTCACGCTTGGTCAAAACTATATTAATAGCCTAACCTTAATTTATATTTGCACGTTCTCAAGGGAGGGTAGAACCGCACGTATTTAATTATTATAAAAATTTATGAATCACAAGGGACTTACATTCTCAATTATTTTAGGCTTCTATTATTTTAGGCTGAATGTGTAATTTCATGAAGAAATGTAGGTGTGACGTTGTTCTACTATTAGCATGGAGAAAAATAAAATATTCCAAAAGGAACTATTTCAAAGTTAATTTTATAGTTTTCTACATAAATACCATAGTTAGCACCATGTTTAAACCTATACTTGACTAAAATATTGATAGTGTTTCTGAATATCATACATAGATACGTAAGTATGTTATAACAGCTTCGATTTTACCAAGCTTAGAATAAAGTAAAGTTAAACAAAATTAAGAATCAAAAAAGTTCAAATAGTTATTAACGAGGTTTTCTATTCTTAAGATATTATAGACCAACTATGAGTATATGTACTCGAAACATACACTAAAACTTACTATTTTGCTCTGTATTGAGAATTTGGCACCCACGGCATTCTCAGAAAGACTACTTAGATTATTATATACATACAGTAGGGTGGCATAAAAATAAACCAAATATTTTTTTCGAGTCTCTTACGAAAATATGTTAGTTTATCATGTTTTAAGAGCAATTCAAAAAAAAATTAAGAAATCGATCACATTTTTAAATATTTCCAAAATCGATGAAAATAGATTTGTTTTTTTTTTTAATTTTTTTTTCTCGTTATTTCACTATTTTCGAATTTAAAAATGGTTAGGTCTGAAATTTTCAAGTCGATATTTCAATATTTAAAGGTCGCTCAAAAAATTTTTTAGTTTTCAAGTAGATTATGTTAGGTCTTACCGAGCGACTTCTGAACATGAATATTATTCATGTTCAGAAGTTTTAATAGTGAAAATCGTTTCGAATTTTTTTGCATCTGTCTAGCCTTATTTCTATTCTTTAGTATGTCAACTTCAAGAAAAAAAAGTCGTTAATATTCATGTTCAGAAGTCACTCGAAAAGGTCTAAATGACTCAACTTGGAAACTTAAAAAAATATTTAGCGACCTTTAAATATTTAATAATATCGATGAAATATATGAAAAGATATGAAAGATAAAATATATGAAAAGAAAAATATATTATTTTTTTGGGCCACCCTAACATACAGAACATATAATATACAATTTAATTGATATAAATATAGACAAATTGAATTTTTTATTCATAATATACTTAAAACTGGTGACGACTGCATAGAGAGATCAGCAGAGAATGTCCCTCCACATATCCTGTCGGTGCAGAGGGCTTGTGCTGGCTGTATTCTGCCTACATTAGCTGCACATGGTACCAGCAACCAATCATTGGCGCAGTTGTTGGGCCCAGCGCCTGATCCAACCATGGCGTTAACTAGAGTATTACTGTTTCCACTTAGAGTAAATGATTTAGATCGATTGTTTACTGAAATACACAAAAATAAACGATAAACGCAAGGCAGTCTTGGTCGTGTGAGAAATAACTTAACGAAAGTGTTCGTCAATTTGAATTGCAAAGGGCAGGTTTACATGCTATATGGATGTTGACTTTAGTTCCGATCCATGATAAATTGGAGCGACAATAGCGAAGAAATATATACCTAATTGGTACGCCTAAAAATCAAGAAAAAAATACGAAAAAACTTTGCTTGATGCCCCTTAATGCTGCAAGACTCAGTATCCAGCACTTTTCGATTGGTTAGTACACACTTCACGGTATTATTTAATTTAATATTAATCAAGTATCTAAATAAATCTCAATGGTCCATTACGATTCAGTGGAAGTTTGAGGTGAAATTATATTTATATTAAAAAAAAATTATATTGTAAAAATTACAATTTAATATTTTTTTAAGTATTTATGATTACAGTTGTACGTGTACTGTACGTAAGCATGTATATAGAATTTTTTGCATAATAAAAGTATTTGTATAAATAATAAACCTATCCCTTATTTTATGGCTGCCCTTTCCATTACCCTGGTATAAAAATATTTCTGAAAAAGCTAAATAAATCCATAAAGCTGTAAAACGTATACTTTTGCTGACAATGAGATTATTCAAAGTACTGCATAAATTTTCATGGATAGTGGATGATTTGACAATTTTCATTCAGTCAACGGTTGATCAAAGGTTACGGCTATCCAACCAACCATCTGTGTACTATTTTTTTCTTTTTTAACCGACTTCCAAAAAGGAGAAGGTTCTCAATTCGTCGGAATCTTTTTATCATGCGCCTTTCTTTATAGAATTCAATTCAATTAAATACTCTAGACGATTCTATTAATTTCCACTTTATAATGTAATTTTGTATCTTATTAGTCAATATGTTGCGTAAACGTAATATTGTGTACGGAACTATTGTTACGGTAGCCCAATGCGGCGACGGGTTCCGCTGTGGGTTTTAGTGAGTAGGAGTCTCACGGTACCCTACCCATTGACGGCCGGTAGGGTCCCCATGATGGGTTTCCCCAGCGATAACAAAAAAAAGCCCAATTTGCAATGTCCAAATGAATTAGTCTTATTTAATGTGGTCAATGAAAAAAGTGAAATATTTTATTTGTATTCAATGTTAGTGTGAAAATAAAGTTTGGGTTTGAAAACAAATAAAATATGATGACCGTCGCATGTAATTATCGTCATTTATATTTAATCTACATATTTTCTCATAAGGCACGTTTATTATACATATTATTATGCTATTGTGATTCTCAAGTAAGATTAAATAAAGTAAGCATCGGCACTAGTAATCCGACTCTGAAAATAATTCTTTCGCAAATAAAAAGTTAATTTATTTCTGACCAATAAATGCAACATTTATCATATATAACAAGTTATTATTTATATTTATTATATTTTTATTTATATAAAACCACTTGCTACTGCTTGCAGAAGTATGCTATTTTGTATTACATAAGGAAAAGTCAAATAATTTCAACGTTAATTAAAATTAAAACTTTACTACAGTACAAACTGTCATAACTATGAGGATTTACTGCTCATATACTGTCACAGTCTCGTTTTGTAAATTTATAAAAAGTTTCCAGTTGTTTTGCTCTATATCTCAAAGTTAAAATGACTTTGATAACCCATTTTCACATTTAGGGGTGGAATTAATAAAGTTCTAGGGTACATGAGGCATAGTTCCAATTAAAGTTGAGTCTTCAAGAATACGTTATACCTCTCCTCTTTTGTAGCATTTAACCAATATGTGTACTTTTTATTTTATATTAAAACTCCTTTAACAGCCATCAGATGCATTACATTTTGACAGCAGATTCAAAAAATATTTATCAAAAAGTGAGACAATAAAAAATGAATTTATAAGAATTTAAACCATTTACCAAAAACCAAATTCTTAGGTTTTACATATTACTATACTCTAATATTGCAGTTTTTGTATTTTTCCTCAGAAATGAGACTTTTCCCGCGGTAAAAAGTATTCTATATGTTCACCCGGATAACCAGCTATCACCATACCAAATTTCATCAAAATTCTCCAGTGGTTTGTCTGTAATATGCCTCTGTATCGATAATAATGTTTTTTTTTTCAATTAGATTTTCTAAAAAATATTTAATGTACAGATTCGGCTTAGTTACAATTTTATTATATGTATAGATTTAAAAATAATAATTCTTCTATTATTCTATATTACTGCAACGACCATAAACCCTTGCAAATAATAACCACATGTTTTTATACTTACTGTACTATACACTTAATGCAAGACTTATTTCATTGAGTGCCGATAGTCTTAACTAGACCATGAAATTAAAGAAAAGTGAAAAGAAAAAAATACATGATCGTGTGTTTTCATTTAAAACCGCTATCTAATCAGATTTTTTTAACCGGTGCCAGCCGGCGAAAACAACATGGTGAACATACATAAAGAACTCGTACACCTGCGAATGGTTTTTTGAAACCTCTTTTTTGAAGTCGGATAAAAATAAATATTGATCATAAACTCTGTGTACATATTATGTTCAGTGAATTTAGATATCGTTACAGTAAGCATAATGAAAGGTAAAAACAATTAAGTACCTTAAAATTTCAAAAATGATAAAAAGCGGAAAAACAAAATTATATTACCTGGATCAGGGCAAGCTGTGTATTGTATACCACAAAAATTCCTTTCCATCCTCACACATATACCGTAGTCCTGATTGCTGAGTTGTCGTCCAGTCGCAGGATCGTAGTTAAAAGATTTCAGTTGACCAGAAACACCAGTGTAATACTGAAGGCAACCTTCGTCGGCTGAAAGTATAAATAGTTCATCATCATTCATCGAATTGACCTGAATGTGACTAATAACTCCGAACGTAAACTGCACTATCTAGTTTTGCACTTTGAATATTTGGTTATGCATATTCTGAAGAAGTAAATATAATTTTTAATTTTTTATGTTTTTACAGTAAAAGCATCTCACTATACAGGTGTCCCAGAAAGTAGTGTCAAGCGGAAGTCCAGATATAGATCACCCGTTGGGGTACCCAAATCACCCCCATGTATGTTACGATTGTTCTTAGTTTTTGAGTTAGGTTTTTTTTTCAGAATTTTTGTGAATTTTCAAACTTAAAAAAGAACAACTTAAAAAAGTTCTAAAAAAAGTAGAAGACTTTTTCAAGTTTTTTTTTGCAACTGAATCTTCATCAGTTGTACTTTTATTCTTAAAATAATCAATCCTCTCAGCCCATTATTATTGCAGGTAAAAGAGTTGCACTCACGTTTACAACCCATGTTCCGCTATATATTACAATTATATATGTACCAAAATATTATTACTTTCTGGGGCAACCTATACACATACATTCTTTACTTTCTATGGCTAAAATATGATTTTCAGTTGATGTTATTACTCATTTAAAAATAAATTCAAGGTGAGGAATTTTTTAAAATATTATTTTAACTCAACCAATTTTATAACACTTATTCATACTAAATTATCTTGTGTATCATATAGCAAAAGTTCAAAGGAGTAACTCGATGAAATTGTAACAGGCGAAAGATTACTCCAGTATAATTTATATTTTCGATGAGTCTTCACATTTAAGTGGTAAGGTTTTACGATGGAAGCTAAAATTTGAGTGTTTGCTCAAACCAGTTCGCTTAGACTGCGATTGTTTAAATGTACGGTTTGTAAATGAAATAAAAATACTTGAACCATATCTATTAGTCCGATTAAATCAGCTCTGAAAATGAAATTTTTGGCTGTATTTTTTGTTTGCTAACCATACGCTATTGACTAAAAAGTATCGTTAAAAAGTTTTAAGCAAAATAATTTAAAAAAGGTGAAAGTTAAAGTCAAAAAAACGTAGAGTATAAATATGTACGTATGGTAAATACCTAATTTTGCTAATTTTAAAACAAAGAGGGAAATATTTACCTTTATATATCGTGCTGCAAGGTATCTGCGTGACCTTTACTTTCCAGAGCCTCTCAAAAGAATTGCCACTTGTAACAAAAGTCAATTTAACAGGATTTGTAGTCCCGATCCCAGCATCAATATACACTACAATAATACAGATTTTAAAGATTAAATCTGAAATTGTTCTTTACTCTATATTATTATTGTAATGCAATATATATTTTTTCACATGAAAGTGTCTGATTTTACCGTACTACATATGTTACTTATATCCTGCTATTAAAATTTTTGTGTAATAAATCATTATAATATGTACTGATATTCTCAATATACTTAAATAATATATAAGTCCGAGTATATTGAGAATATTAGTCTTATATATTCGTCATTAGCTATACCTGCGATGTTGTTTCTGTGGACTTAGTCTGTTATTTTTATAGTGGCACGCTTTAGAATAGATACCTAATCAGATATTTTCGAAGTTGGTGCCAGCCGCTAAGTCCAATCCCATATAAACTTTCAACCCCTATTTCACCCTCTTAGGGGATAGATTTTCAAAAACGCTGAAATACATATTTATTTATTTCTAACCAGAAGTTTGTATATGAAATTTCATGGTTCTAAGTTTGAAAATGAACAATCTTTTAAGATATGAATATCTTATATATCTAATAAGTAAATATGATTAAGTATGAACTCTTATTATAATTAAAATACTATACATCAATTTGTGATGTATTTTACGTATCGAAATATATTAGATTTGCTTTGCATCGGCTGGCACCGACTTCGAAAATATCTGATTAGGTATCATCTATTCTAAATGAAAATCTCCGCTTAGTTATTATTTACATTTTAGTGCCTTTTTTTTTTAACGTTGGGAAATGCATTTACGCACGACGTGTGGGACTCACCGGCGTAATACAGCCAGTACTACCCACTAAAACCCAACAAAACCTTCCCCCGTCTTAATGGGGCGTCGCAGGATCGCTTGCGCATTCAACTACGACGCCCCGACGGCAGGTCTGCCGAAGCAGACCACCACAACCATGGGGTTGCTCCACAGTCCACTCTGCTATCAGAGAAATACCAGGAGCAACCCGCATGGTACACCGCCCCCCAAAGAGGGCCACCTCCCACCGCCCACCGAAGTGGGCAACCTCCCTGTGCGTTTCTTAGCTTCGCGCCCGGTTGGATTGCCGGGCACTACTGAGCCCCCCCACCACGACAAGGTGAACGCACGTTGGGGGGTTACATTTTAGTGCCTGGAAATCGGTTTTTTTAAAAGCTTTTATCTCTTTTTCATTATTTAGAGATATTTAGTAAAGAATTTTCTATTGGAACTTAAAATTGATGAAATACTCACTATGACTGGCCTGGTTAAAACCACATATCGCTGGGACAGGATTTCCTCCAGAAACTATAAACTGGTCTTGGTTGCACATGTGGTTAATTCTTTCAGGACCCGAAATTCCAAAGCGATCGAAATCCAACCTTTGGAAATGTTACATCTATTTATTTGTAGTAATTTAAGTGTTAGATATACAAAGATTTTAAAGGCAAGTTTTAACCAGCTTCTAGTACCATTTAGTGAACATGACTATTATCTTGCGTAATAGCCTAGGTAGTGAATGCAGGAGAGAAACTATTTCCGGTTAACTCTCAGACGACAAAACAGATGTTCTCAGAAATGTGCAGAAACTTGTTCGACAGTGCATGTTAAGTAACTCGAGCAGAAAACGTGATAAGAACTCTGAACAGGATATTCTCAATATACTTGAATAATATATAAGTGCGAGTATATTGAGAATATCAGTCTTACATATTGTTCATTAGCTATACCTGCAACGTTGTGTCTGTAGAGTTAATCTGTTATTTTTATAGTGACACGCTTTTATACCATTATTAAGAAAATTAATAAAATTAAATTATACTTATAAATACAAAGAGGATTATGTAAAAAAGATTTAGGTATAGGCACAGAAGACCCTCAAATCAGAGACTTCATTTAATTAGCTTATATCATTGTGAGTATAATTATAGGGGTAACTTGCTTAGTCAATAAAGACATAAAAAGGGTCATGAAAGGTCAAGGAGATATTTAAATTGGTATTTGTTTACTTTAGTGCCTTCATTAATTTTCCGAGTTAGCGACCTCGATCGACCGCTGTTCGCGCTGAGTATTGATAAAACATCATTTTCGTGTCGTCTTAAATATTTTATAATAAAACTCGAGGAAAGTAGATTTTTTAAGTGACGTTATAATGGCTGTTTTTACACTTGATGGCTAAAAAAGTTTTATTTTATTAAAATAATATGATGTAGGTAATAAATATATTCACCTTATTTGGCACACATCAGGATGTGCTTTGATAACGGTTAGTTCGCAAGAGCCGGTACCATCATATGTAGACGGATAACCTGAATTAACAAAATATGTTCCGTTTTCGGATGTAGTACTGCCACACGATGTCATAACTGTAACATTATTACTTTTTATTTATAATTTTCTTTTGCAGCCATTTACTACTGAAATTTTCAAAACTGGGGATTAAAAAATGAGATCATTCTGCAACCGTTGAATATAACAAATTTCAACAGTTGTATTGAAATGACACAAATTATATCGTTATGTCATACAATTATAATCTATACTAATATTATAAAGAGACAGAGTTGATGTTTGTTCATTTATTTGTTTGTTTGTTTAAACGCGCTAAACTTAGCAACTACTAATCCGATTTGATTTTTTTTTGCATTAGATAGCCCGCTTATTGCGGAAGGCTATAGGTTATATATCAACATGCTTCTATCCAAGGGAGCGGGGCAGTACTCATAAATGTCAACAAATCGGGTAGATTTCCATACATTATTGTAAAACTGATATTTATAGCGGCATTTTAAGCGCTGGTGAAGCCGCGCGTAGGTAGGTACTGCTAGTCTATAATTCTATACATATCACAAAATTCGAACTGAGTCGAATCTACGTACATTAAATATATTTTTTTGAAAATCTTATTGAAATAGTCACTATTATTGATACAGAGGCCGAATCTATAGTTTTTAGAATTTCTGTCTATTTGTTTGTCTTTCTGTCTGTCTGGGCTAATTTCAATGGTATGATAATAGCTGATTATCCTGGTTAACAAATAGGATACTTAATAAAATAAATAAATAATAAAAATATTGAATTTATTGATATTTTATTAATTTTTGATCCGTTTTGGAGTTAAATTTATTGTTTTATTCTGGAAAAAAAATGATTTTGAGGTAATGATATAAAGAAATGAAATTCACCACATTCCTTCTTTATTATTTAATAATAATAGTTAATAATATAATTAAAAAAAAATCAAGTTGATATTTACAAAATTCAGTCATGGCTTTGTTGAAAATTATAAAAAGCTCTTTATTATAAAAAGTCTTATGGATAAAAGTTGTAGATTCTTACTAGACCTACAACTTTTGTAGAAAATATTTTTCGATAGAACGTCACCGTAAGCCGGAAATTGAAAAAAAACTATTTTTCAACGCTTTGCGTCCCGCCATTTCTCGGGGGTAGCTGGGCATCGGGGACACTTATATAAGTAAATTTTTTGAGCGTTACGCAATAAAGAAATTAAATAATTTAAACAATAACAATAGGTATGTTTTAAATTTTATACAAGTAAAAAATGGGATTGTATTCTATTAAGCAATATTATTCAAATAATTTTCTAAATCTATAGGATTCTTCTAGATAATGTATAGGTAATAATATTTTTGTCTATGACACTATTATTGGAGGTAAAAGATTTTTTTCATTTTGGTTTGAAAATATGATACGAAAACTAAACTATCCTACCGTAGGGAAATATGTGAGATGAAAACTGAATTTATGAGGAATGACTTTCTGTCAGCATTAAAAATTTGAAATATTGGCAACGAACTAGCATGAAACAGGTCAAAGTAATTTTCTAATGTGCGAGTAAATTATTGTTATGGAAATTTGGGAGCAATACGTACATATACAGCAAAGTCCGAACCCATTAGCGCAGTATCCATTAGCCGAGCCACCACGGGAGGAACACTCCCGTGCCGTCATGCACGTGCCGTTATCCCCGGATGCTCCAGTGCAAAGACCGTTAGGAAAGGTCACGACGGTGAATAGCGAGAGGACTGTGGAATTTTTTACCATTAAAACTTACCTTAACACTATCGTTATGTTAACATACTTAGAGAGCATTTCGCCTTGTTCGTTTCATAATAAATATAACTAGGAACTACTAACTCCTTTTTTTGTATTGGGAAATGCGTTTATGCATATTTATAAATACAGGTGGAGTATTGAATGGTGGTATTTTCGGGGGAGGAAAGACTTACCCCTGATTTTGCTTATGTGTAAAGTGATACATACTAGTATCACTATCACACATTATTAGCATACAGCTATTATATTTAGATAAATAAACCTTTAATCATATATAGGTACATCTCTCAGCAGAACTGTTTTTCGAGCCGGTGGTAGCTTCCTCGCGGACTGACTACACTGGCGCTTTCGTCAAATTGACGAGTCAGAAGCACTTGTAATAAGTCTAAATGAATAAAGTTTATTTCATTTCATTACATAGAAAATCTCGTGTGATATCTGGTACCAATAGTATTTCATAACGCACGTACAACAATGATACTTGATGAATTGCACCAACATATCATCGTAATAATATGATGAATGGCATGAATACCAGTATGTAACAAACATTATTTTTTCATTTTATTTTTTTATTTTTACTTATATATATGTAAAATAAACTGGACCTATTGTTTATAGATGAAACAATTTAAGCTAGACTGTTGTCATACTGTCAATTCATAGCACATTCAACAATGAAGTAACACATGACATAGGAAATGAGGTTGATGCAAACATATCTTTGCACTATATATAACTTGATGAGGAGAACAATATAATGTTGATAATATCCGTTAATCGGATATGACTGGAATGTCAAGGTTCCGAACTCTCTACATAACTAGTTCTATAAGCCTATTTGTCTCATATTGAAATAATTGTGTGATATAGTATACATATATTTGAAACTCTGTATAAGTTATTGTTTATAGGAAGCTAGCTACAGCAAGCTCAATAGGCCTAGGACGGCAAATTTTAGTAGCGGCGAATTTAGGACAGAATTCATTTCAAGCGTCTTGCAGAAATCAGAAAAAATCCCGTAATAATTCGAAACATGGTTTGAGCTTTGATTTGTTCTAAAAGATACCTAAAAACTTTCTTGTGTCATGTCGACCAAATTGTTGGGTTAAAATAATCAAGGAACTGACAGTTATAGGGCGCCAAACATTTAACAGCTATAGTTGCAAAATGTGTAAATCCGCCACTGGCTTGCTATACGAGTATTATGCTTTCACAATTGTTCTACGAGTATATACGCGCACGTATCGTACTCAAGCTGTATAATTTGATATTTTTAACGAAAACAAATGAAACAGCCTATTTTTAACACGTTTAGATTTAACTTACATTAACTACATATTAGAGTCCACCGACGTGAGTATGTTTGAGTATAAGAACTCAAACATAACAAACCTCCTATCCTATATCATATCTCATAGAAAACAAAATTCAATTATTCTAGAATTTTCCATTATTCCGGGCCATATTCCCCAATTTTATCCCTTACCAAAATACATTTCACTTATTTATCCAAAAAAAGTACACATGCATATTATATTACACCAGCGATTTACCCCCGCTAGGTGCCTAACAGTAGCAAATGTTATAGTTCATTCGCAATCTATGACGAAATTTTGTTCAAATCTGTCCAGCCGTTTTAGCATCGACGAGAAATAACCATGACACAGTACGCATACACTTACAAAGTTTCACAAAAAAAGCAATAGAGCAGGCACATACTACTTAGTTTATCTTTTTACAAAAATAATTGTTCCATAAATGTATATAGCATGAAAGATTTACTTACATCTACTTTCTTTCTGCACTGGCGGCCAAAACCGTGCTTCAGTCATTAGCTGATCTGGAAATTTCTTTCTCAAATTATGACGTTTATTCCACTTTGGGAAAGAAACTCCATTTAATATACCTCGTCCACTAACGCCTTTTGGTGTAGGATAGCTCACGTTGTTCGATTCACACAAATTTATTAAAGCCATGCACAAAAATATAGTTTTTGTCGTCATCATATTAATAACTGATATAAATGATACAGTAGGGTTTCAACATCAGATTGAAACGTTAAATAAACATGGATTTCAATATATAATATGTTTGACTAGGAAGGGGAACAATGGTGTTAAATTTCTCCTATTATTATATGCGAGGACAATACCCACTTGATGATAATTTCTTTGCTCAAATGTTTATTGCACGCATGTAAAATCACCAGTACGGAACATAAGCTAATGTTGCCTAAATAATATTTTGTATCATATATTATGTATAAATGTAAATTAAAGTTATTATTTGCACAAAAATGATGTATCCTTATATTAAAATATGCCACACTAGCGATTCTAGGCTTGCATAGATTGCAACAGACATACACACACAAATTTTCATAATTATTCAGTGTATTGAAAGAATTACAAGTAAAAGACTTGAATAATTTTTTTTTATTGGTGAATAAACGTGTAAATAATGTCGACCGGCTTTCGGCCTTACCATTTTTCATAATTAGTTCAACTTGTGTATCTTAGACTTAACGACAATAGCTCTACAATGGACGTAAGAACTAGGAACCTAACAGATGTTATCCAAAACAAACGGATATTAAGAATATTAAATTTATAGTTAATAAGTTTTTACTTTGAGTTTGTTTTAGCCATCAGTTTCGCTTAGATAGAGGAGTTTCCATAATTGAGTATATTTCTTAAGTACATCCATCCGGTTATTATTAATTAATCAATAGATGCAATATTAAATTATTAAAAAAAATTAAATCTTATTGTGCGTATGAATAGAAACATATGCTTCAACCATTAGTGATTTTAAAGAAAATTATACCTTTCTGTTGTTTCCTATGATGATATTTTTATATTTTTCAACTCTACAAAAATACTTGGACTAGTTCATTGTAACTATTGTCTATTGTACTCGTATATGAATTTGGTAAGTTTAACGTGGGTATTTTTCTTTCACGCCCTATTCTTCTATATATCCTGTTCCCTATCTGTATATCCCGAAAAGATAAGGAACGCGAAAAAAAACTTAGAATATTTCTCTTATATATATAATATCTTATTCTTATATATATGTATATGCAAGCAAAATATATTTTAGTTTAAATTGGTATGATTATTATTTATTACCGTTAAAAAAATGCAGAACTTAAATTGATAAAACTAAATTAAACTATAACTGGTTGTTTTGGTTGGTATTCTGACCAAAACTTTGACGTTCGAATGAAAGCAATTACACACATCACATATTATGGCACATCGGATGTACAGTTAATGTGAAAATTATTATCTCGTAAATATCTAAATTGTGCGTCACGTTGTGAATTACTTTTACATAAAGCATATTTCGTTCGTAAAAAAAAATATTCTGAATGTAAAACAGATGGAGTGTAACTTTAAAGGATTATAGTATACCTACTTATCACTTTCGCTATAAAAAGGAGAAAGCTGTGCTCCTTATAATGACATAGTTTATAGCTTAAGTATGGGTACTCTGTGTGATCTCATTAATACAAGTGGAGGTCTTTGCCCGGTCATAGAAAATTAATAAGCCTTTACCGTGTCATAGCTTCGATTCGTTTCAGGAAAAATATTTGAAAAAATTAAAGTGGTTGTATTAAATTTTCTCTGAATACATAATATATTTAAGTTTCTTTTTAATGTTTCATTTTGCCTATGAATGAAGTTTCCAATTAAAATGATTATTATTTTACATAATTACTAAGAAAACGTTTATTTAGTTGTTAGTTCGTTCGTTCGTTTCTTCATACGTTCGTTCGTACGTTCGTTCGTTTGTTTGTGTACGCGCTAATCTCAGGAACTACTCATCCGATTTCAAAAATTCTTTTTGCATTAGATAGCCCGATTTTTCGAGGAAGGCTATATATCATTTAATATAATTAGTCTATCTACTAACCGTTAAAACGTATCTAGGGAAAACCCGAACGAAGGAAGAGAGAGTCGCTAGTAAGATAAATAAAAGAGAATTACACCAATATTACATTTATTTAACATCAAATGACACCAAATCTACATAGTATATATACGCATATTTGCGCAAGATTAACTTAGTGACTAGGGTTTAACAGACGCATAATATGTATCGTCTTAAACTAATGCTTGTGCTTATCAGCAACCATTTTCATTTTATGTAAAGTTCATAGAAAATATAATAAATTTATATATATTGTATAAGTATATTCAACCATCAGTCATTAGAATTGGAATTTTTGGTTTTTGGTATATAGGTATATTCCTTTTACGTTTTAATAATATACTTGAATATTTAAGTTTAAGTAAAAGTTTTCTAGAATTTCTCAGGACGTGTTGATCTAAAACGGTTGACAGTTTATATGAAAATTACAGTTATATATAACTGTTATGTATTATATAAAATTGTATATATCATTTTAAAATATTGAAATAATCTTATTAACACGTAACATTAGGTTAATATTATACGCAGAAGTTGTTCTATTCTAACATGATTAAGTGAATAATGTCATTAAGTGATGATTTATGATAAAGCTTATTTTATGCAACATAATATTAAAGATAATCAAGTGTTCTAAATTTAATGACTATGACAAATTTGTCCATTCTTAAATTAGCTTTGTGCTTTGCAGCGGCCTTATGTTAGAATATAACATTTAAAATTTACTTTAATAATTTAACACAAATTTTCTTACAAACATACAATTTATATTCATATCGATATCGTTACTACTACAATGTCATTCGTAGGACTTAGTATACTATACTTATGTATACTATATATCATTTTCTATTTGGATATTTAATATATCCTATAGCTTAACGATTATAATTAATGTTATTCTAGTTATAAATCATATATTTGTCGATGAATAATATTTGATTTAAGTAGCTAACGTAATTAGTTTCTTGAATATTTGTAACTGATGCGAGAAGTTAATGAAGTGCACTAAACACAATTTTAAGTATAAATATTGATGCCAGCGCAGTAGTTTCGTATTCCTAAAGTAGAATTGAATTTGTTATAATTATTCAATTTTAACTGCTTGTCAAATGTATCATATGGATCCTTATCAAAGCAAAACAAGTAAGCCCAATCCGATGTATTAATTAGTTGTACGAAGGTGGTATCATTTTTACTATCTTTAAATACAATTATAACCCAATTTAATAAGTAGGTACGACAAAACTGACTATTTCTTAGCTTATTTTGTGCGGTCTGCAACGGCCGTATGTTATATTATGTATATAATTTAAACTAAAATTTAATAAATAATTTCCTCACATACCTATAGTTACTACTTGTATATATTTTTAATCATTTATATCATTAAACTCTGGTTCTTAACAATAGAAAAATGTACTCCAAGGACATTTATTGTATAAATTATGTTTGGATATTATATTTACATGATAATTATTATGATATACAGTATACTAGTGCAACTTTTAAATTAATCGCCAAAAATTTAAAGGTAGGTTACTTAGCACTGTTATTTACGTGAATTAACATGACAAATGAATATAAAAATATATATATATGCAATGTTGATTAAAAAATTAACTTATGCACCATTCACGCAAGAAATATAAGTTATAGCATGTATATTTATTTATTAAATATGAAGACCAATAATATTAAAAATGAATATTTAGAATATTTGGATATTATTACACTGGCGACTTGAAACGTTAATAAATTTAAATTCACTATTATAAACTAAACTTAGCTTAATAATGACGACAAAATTGTCTACTTTGTAATATAAGTTTGTGGCCTGCAGCGGCCCTACAAAATTTTAATTTAAATAATATTCCTTATATACCTTAATGATTAAGTATTTTAAGTACCAACATTATTAATATAACCAGTGTTCGTCTAGTGGTTCGAAATTCGACAATAATCATTACTGAATATGAATAAAATATCTATATTAAAGAAGTAACTGTTTGTATTATACAGAATGTCCTGAGAAATATTTAATTTTATTATAATAAGCAAGTGATAATTTTATTTCAGTGACCAGTTATTGATAAATTAGATCATTTGTAGTATCTACTGCTTTAAATATAATAGTATTTAAACAACGACTTATATATTATAATATGAGTTACGACATTATCAACATCCAAACATCTAAACTTTCACATTTATAATATATATAGACATTAATTTACTTTACACCGATCTATATAATTGATATTAATAGTAAATATTATTAAATGTTTATAACATGATATTTATAGTGTGGGAATATTATTTTTTCCTAAACTGTTAATTAAATTAAATATTAACATAAAATAATTAACATAAAAAGCTATCATGAAACGTTTATTTATAGCTATAAGAATAACACACGAGCTAAAAGCCAATTGATCAAATACATTAATTTTATTAGGGTTATATTTTCAAGTATTTGCAATTATTTTTTATTAGTACCATCTTAAGTATCTAAGACTTTATAATATATTTTTTTATCTTTTTTATTTTTGCCAATTTATAGCTATAGTTATTCTAAGACAATGGAATATTTACCTAATTGTTAGCTTAATAGAAATTTAAGTATCCAGATGGTATACCTGCATTATATTATATAAATCATTCATTCCAAAAATACGGTCATCTTTTCAAAGGCACCCCAAAACTTCAAATTGATAGGTTTTTAACCTTCCAAATCGTTCTATTCCTCGATTTTCATGCAATTGACTTATCTCATATACAATATAGATACTTAATTTTTACATACATAACGATAAAAACAAACCGTTATAAGGTTACATTTTACATCTAAGTAATCTATTATAACTAGTAATGACTAGATTGTATTTTTTATATAATTATGTAATGAATGTCTTGCAAAAATGCATGCTTTAACTTATTTTTGAGCTTAATCCCAAAAAGTAGTCAAAGCAGTTTATACATATCTGCATTGGGCACAAACATGAGGGGGGTCAGTGGATTGAACAGTATCGAAGGATGATGCGGCAAGCGTGTAACAGCCAGAAATAGACTTTCACACGACGTTGCCCTTATATTAACCGCCTTTGTTAAAGGAGTACGCTGAACGCAACTTATTGCGAATACGCGGAGAACTCCAGCGGGGAATAACCCGAGCGTCAGATGGTGAAACACCTTCGTCCACGTCGTCAGCTTCAGTTTTTATTTCCATTTTCTGAAAAATATTTTTTTTTACTAATTTATTTACCAATTATAGCGATACGGTCTTAGAAGTGATGTAAAACATATTTTTAAAGAGTAAGCAACGTAGATCTGGAGTCTAGATAAACTGGTTACTTCTTTTCTGTTCTCGGACCTTTCCATATATCTCTTAAATTAATCAGGTATAGGTCCCGTGGGAAATATGGTTCTCATTGTATAGCGGATACAATTTAAAGTGAAAATTAACTATACAGACAAGTTAAAGCGACTGACTGACCCCAAAATTGGTTTAAACATAAGTATTTTATCCCTAGAAATTACAATTCATAGAAAGATATACATTATTATTTAAAAAAAGAATTATGAAAATAGTTACAGATTCAAGACGTAATATACAAATTAGCAGATCCCGGCCATTATTGAGGAGAAAAGAAGGAAAATAAATAAACCTACGCTACTGGATGGGTAGACTGTAGCAGGGGCATTTAATAAAATTAAAAGTTTAACAGTATGAATTGGTTGTGTGAAGTATAAAATAAATGTGTATATTACAAATGCCTCTTTTATTATCATGTAAATAAAACATTACTTCAAAACTTAATATTATGTCTATTGCATCACAATATTTAAAATAGATGTTGTCGCTTACTGTAGCTCTATTCTCGATCGTAGTTAGTTCCAACTCGAACCACTACACGATAGTGCTCTGATATAAATTTTAAAATCAAACTTCACGAGTACGAATTCTAACAAAATCGAGTCAAACTCGATTGATTCAGAACTCGAATCTGTCAAGAGTAAGCAGTTCTCAATTAGCGAAAGTAACGCGTAACATAACATAAAAGAATCGTACCTACATAAAACCGAGTCTTTAACTTTTAAAGTCGGTAAAAATGAGGTAAGTTTTGATTATTTTATACCTCCATATTTTTTTTTAGATAAGGCAAAATTTTAATTTCGCCATATTAGTTATGTATATTTGTTACCTGTACGATTAAACGTGTTAGCGTATGTATTTGATCAATAGTCTGGGACATTTCCCGCATACGACGTTTGCTTTTATCAAGCTCAGCCGTTATGTAGTCATCGTTGCTTTCTAACACCAGGTCTAGACCAACAGCTGAAAAAGATATACAAAATTATGTTAGGATTTAGGTGCAGTTAAAGAAGTAAAGTGGTATTTATCGTTTTAGTTCCTCGCCAACACAACTACAAAGTATTTTTGTCAAAACAGACCATCATCAGTGAAAGGATTGCAAAACCATTTCCGTAAAATGAGGTCAAGAAAGCCAAGCTTGCACTTTTTATTGTTTGGATACTCGATTAATTCGTTCTTGTCCACTTTTTCCAAGCACATAGCAGGCAGTTTTCGTTCCAGTTCCGTGTGAAGGACCACCTGAAAATATTATAAACATTGCTAAATATTTTCTTAGTTTAAGTTTAAGATTTCTTTATTTCCTTATACTTATATCATTTTTACTGACTCGACTAGTATGTAGTACTAGTCTACCAATTGTCTAACGAAGCGAATCTAAGCGAGATTGGTCAATCGTGCGGGGCATGCAGAGTGATATGCGACTAAGGCACTCCCAACTGCCTTATATAATCTCATATGACAGTCGGGAGACAGGTTTATAGGTTTACGGATATGTATTTTTTTCTTATTAATTCATTTTAGGGAAATATTTTACAAAATTAATATCTATAAATAAAAAAAAGCCGTTAGTGCAAAACCACAAACCTGTGAAAGTTCTTTATTGTTTGATTTCAGTTGATATATAGAATAAGCGTTATTTTTTTATATTTAATACTGAAATTATTTTTACAGATAATATTTCGCATTGCAGAGAGCGAAAAATATAAATAAAATTACTTTCTTACTTGCATAGCTAGGCGTTTCAGTTGGGCATTGCGTCTCACGCTCTCGATATCACCAACAGCCAAACCGATAAGCAAATTCATCAGAAGAATTGGCATGAGAACCATAAATAGTCCAAGGATCAAAAATGTAGGAATGGGATAAAGCATAAGGGTATCAGTCCCATATTTGTAATATGGTTGTACGTAAGTTCCTACAAAGTCAATTTCGCCTAGCATCATTGCGAAAGTTCTCATCAAAGACATCGGTACACTGCTGAAAGATAGGTGATGTCCCTGCAAAGAAGACATGTTAGAATTCTTGATGTGATAATTATAGTATGGATAGCATCACAGTTTTATATTTCGCTCAAGCTTAGTTTTATCATTTCGCTGGGCCTGGATTAGTTTTAGTTTAACCTAATACATAAGTTATCTAAATATTTTCATGACGTCATGAACGCTCAGCGACGTAAAATAATGAAATATTTAGCACTGAAGCAAGTATGTAACGAAATTCAAGCAAAATTTCGTATTAATTAAAAAAAACACTGGAAAAAATAAATGTTGTTATTAGCTTTTGTATAGTTAATTATTATTAAAGAAAAAAAACTGAAACCTTGCTTTAAATACATTTAGTAACACTGCCTTGTTAGAAAAATTATATCCCAAGAAATAAAAATACAGGCTCATCAATCATATACAGGTTGAGAATAAAACTGATTAATCATATAGGTACGCGTTCAGAATTTGTTCTTGGGTTATAACTTTTTATAGCAAAGCAAATTTATCTTTGTCTTGTTTCTCTTTATAAATACCATTTGTTCATCACCCACATTGGAAAGTAAAACGAAGAAAGAGAGTCCGAATGCAATAATAAGTATTGAGAACACCATCAACACTTTGATAAGAGTTTGCAAGATCTCCAAAAACATCACTACGTAGATTCCGACTTGATCAAATCGCTGTAACAGTAATAGAAGCTCGAACCAGGATAAGAAAACTGTGATCGAAGCCGCTGAGTGCTGAAATATAATAGAGATAGTATAGTATAATAATAGAAAAGGGCAAAGACAAAATATGTTTCTTGTAATTAATCTAAGTACGTGTGCATAATATGTTACTGTCGTATATTAATCTTCAATAGTATAGTTCAGTAATTTTTACGTTATTCTGCGTACGTGAGCGTGGATCAGCCTATAGTTCACCATTTCATAAGTCTTTCGAAAACTTGCTAGGTTCCCTCAGACATGAAGTTTCTTCACATGATAATAATTTACCCTACCCGTAAGACAAATAGTAACCCTGTTGATAATTATTTACAAATGAAGATATCAGAAGTGCGAGACCAGGCATTTGGCCCCGTTTCACTTGGTTTCCCAAGCAAGCGCTATACCACTGGGCTACCATTGCCTTCTTAATCTTTTCTTTAATAGTATATAAAACTATATAATACGTTAAAGTCATTTTTTTCAAATGATTTTATTGGTTAAATTAGATTTTATACCATTAAATTTATTTATTTTTATATACAAACCTGAATATTCCCATAAATAGGATACACTGATGGAAGAACCATAAGCACAGAGCTTATATATAACATCCAAGACATGTAATTAGATGGATCCACAATATAATGCCATTTTTGTTCTTTAATATTAGAAATTTCCCGAATCAAACACATTAAGTTATAGAAAAGAATGGCTCCAGTACTTGTGTAAATTGCTATCATAGTTTCGTAGTCTGAAATCAAATAATTATTTAAAGTAGGGCTTATTATCTTTCTTTGATAAAATTTATCAAAACATATTTTATATTTAGGCACCTTTTAGTTTTCCGGTATACGATTTATTCGATTCAGGCTTTTCGTCGAAATCATTTAAGTTAGTAAAAACATTGGGCGACATAAGAAGGTACGTGTACACAGTGACGAAGGTCAAGAATATACAGTAGAACAGAAGTTTAGCCAGATGGAAATATTTTCCATACGAATTCCATTTCATTTGTAAATATTTTTGACTCAGTGGATGAGCCAACAGCTCTACGCGGCCATGAGCTACCATTGCCTATAATTAAACTCAATAGTTATTTACATTGATATTAAGGCATTATATCATAAAACAATTATATTATTTATAAAAGGATTAACAAACACAACTATTGTGAAGGGCATGCCGTGGTAACACACGTGATAGCACATTTTCGCGTGTTATATCTAAGGTGTATTCGTATGTTATTGGATTAGTAAAACATAATACATAGATAACATGTTAGTTTTATAGTGCATTTGAACATAAATATTTGCATATAAAAAGACAAGTAGTGCGAAGCGTCATTGTGCTGTGGTGGAGTGTCACCACTCACTCACGTTGATCACACTCAACGGTTCTGGGCGATACTTTGGGTCATTCAGCGCCTGTCTCAGCGCATCGATCTCAAGCTTCGAATGTTGGTAGAATTTGAATGAATATTTAATCTGCGATGGAGCAAAATTATTTTCATTTTTAATGTATTCAATACAAACTTACATTTAAAGCAGGCAACGGTATTTTTGATGTTTTGCTCTCTGGAATTCTGACACCATCTTCATCTACTTTTGGTTGTGGGCAAAGAGCATCGAAGTTGTATTTTATCTAAATATTGTAAATAGAATATGAATATAAATTTTCTAAATCCTCATAACGTTCCAAAAGTGAATCAATTTGTCATAACACAATCATAATAATATGGTGATACAATTTTTCAAACTTTTATTAGACCTATAGAGTAGACAATAAATTTGAAGTACCTAAACAATTTTTTTAGCTTACGATGTTTCCAGAACTTTTCATGGTTTAAAAGTCTTCGTCATAAATTATATTAACTACTTACGTAAAAGCTCTTTGAATCTTTTTTACAGTTAGCTTTAGTGATGCATTTGTCTTGTACCGCTTCAAATACCCGAGGCATATAGGCGATGAGAGCGAGGGTGACGCAAGGATGGCGGTCAGACCGAAGGGCCATTACTTCTTTAGCTCTGTATTTGTGAATAAAATAACTTTTCAGTGTTCTTAAAATTTTATATAGAAGAAAGTTTTATATAATAAGGCAGAATTATTATATAAAAATCGACACGAAAATTTACTACAATTTAATTAGAATCATAGAAAAACTCATTGAAAATAAAAAATATATAGTTAAGCAAATGTACCTCTGTTCGTGAGTAACCATCGCTAGCGCCGCCTCGGGGAATTTGTAGTAAATGGCGTAGTCTATTGCGCTCATATCTAAACTGTTGTAACTAAGCCGGCATCCCATAGATAGCAGCAGTGCTATTGAATTAGGTTTATTTTCCATAGTAGCCAGATGTAGAGGAGTATTCTAAAAATAATCATTATTATATGTATACGAGTACATTTATACACAAAAATTCAAGATACAAAACGGGTCTAAAAACTGTGTAGGTACTCTTTTCAAATAGTGCCGAATTGTAGTTCTTGAATTTATATGTTTTTGTAATATATATGATTATTGTAACGATGATAATTTAATTTAATTTATTTTTACTTTACATAACAGCTGCTTATTTGTTATAAATAACAACAGTACTCACGTATATTACAATCTCCTTCTATACTTAGTCGAGTAATAATACCGTCGACTAATACCTAATTGTTTTTTTAAATGGAGTCGTTATCGTTAAGCTTTTTTTAAATTACTTCTATTTAATATTTCTTTTCTATTTACTTCATTTATTTTAAATATATTTAAACCGTATAATACTTTTTTAGATTACGATTATTTAAAATTTTAAATAAAATATCTTTTCTGATTTTTTAGCGGTTTCATTTAGTTGAAGCAACGTTAAATATGATTAATTAATAAGTTTAAAAAAATAATTATAATGATAATACTAACCAAAATTAAAAAATAATACGTATATAATAACATATATAATATATGTCTATTTCTTTCAAGTTATGGTGCGAGTACAATTTTATGGTTAGATACGAATGAACGATACGTCGAAAACCAAAATATAAAATAAAACCGCTACAAAATCCAAAAGACAGTTTCATTTAAAGTAAACATTAAGTTTTTCGTTTATTTATTTATTAATGATCATTTTTTTCTTATTTAACACAGAAGTACAATATACGATTTTATTTACTTACTCCATCTTTATCGGACTGGTCGAGTAAATGAGAATGAACTGAGTGCAACAGTTCTATAGTCTGGGTATATCCACTCATAGCAGCTAGATGTAAGGGGTTCCGGCCGTTATGGTCTCTATGCAGTAAAGCTCCACGATTGAGCAAAAGCTGTACCACCCTAGTATGACCTTCACGAGACGCAATATGTAATGGTGTGAGCCCCTCCCCATCACTCTCATTGATAATGAAGGTGCCCTTATCAGAGTCGAGCAGCTGGCATGCGGTATGGTAGCGTCCGTACCTGTTAGAATATACAGGTTTAAATTCATTTTTATAAAGCTCTACATACTCTCAACTATTTATTACTGAATGTCGCAATTACGGATCAATGTTTATTTTAACCGAACAATGTAAACATCGATTAGAAATTTAAAACGAGTAAATAATTGACTACTATATATATTTTTTTACGTATAATTTTAATATTTAATATACGTTATTTTTAATAAGCTTGTTAAACTATATTACCTGGCTGCAAAATGTAGTGGGCTCTCGTTGTTATTATTTTTTAAATTGATACTAGCACCTAGATGTATAAGGTTTTGCAAGGATCTTATGTGTCCTTCACGGCTCGCGTAATGTAGAGGTGAACATCCAGTGTTATCTTTTTCATTAAGGAGTTTCACGAGACTTCTTTCGCAGCGACCCTGAAAGTTACACTTAAGTTCTATTACTGAAAAATACTACATTTTGTGCAAGTGGAATACATTTAGACTATTACAACTTAAGTTACTGTTTTACCCGATCATATTTATCGTTATTCAATCAATAATAATAATTATTACGGTTATGTATGGTACGATAACAATACGAGGATTTTTTATAAAAAAATCGTAATAAGATGTTGTAAACTTCGTAAACCTAGATAGTCTTAACACCTCCAGGTAAATTTCTAAGAAATTAATAAATTTCTAAGAAAACTATTGTTACCTGTAACGCCGGCATGTCCGCGTTCGTAGAGGGATTAATCGATAATTTTAATAAATTGTGATAGAAACATCAACTCTTTATTATAATCGAGTTATAAAGTTTACTTCGAAGTTATGATAGATTGCGATTTCATATCATTTAATGACAGCCAAATGGGATAACTTTATAAAATATAGATATTTTTGAAAAGTATAGATCAAAATATTTTTGCCATAAAAAGATTGATAACATTTAAACAATAACTGAATTATACGGACACAAAAAAAATAGAATTACATTGCTACGTCTCTTCCATATAATATGGTACATTATGAATGTGTTTTTATGCACAGAATATAATTTGGAAACATAGGAAATATTGTTTAACTTTGAATTTTAAAATAATGCATTATTATAGCATATTTTATTCTTAATACTATATCTAAGGTTTAAATTTTGTATAAAATAAATGTTTCTATCATATTTTTGTTTATTCCTGTTAATAAAGTATTACATTCTATGTCTAGATGTGGATCAGGCATGTCTTAAAATTATTTAGTGTTGGTTAACTTTTTTGCTTGCAAAGAAAAGAGCTTGAAGCAACAGTTAATTTAATAAAATCTACAATTTTTACCTTACAAGTCGCTGCAAAATCTTCAAGGCGTCCACCATTCATTACAACAAGGTGCAAAACGTTTCGTGAATTGATATCTTTAAGTTCAACATCAGCACCCAAAGTTATCTAGAAAATGTTATATTTAGTCAATTTATTTATATTTCATTTGGGCAAAAACAATGAAGGTTATTTTGAGGGAAAAGCAATTTAATAAGTATTTGAGGAAAAGCCATACCAATTTGTGAACTGTCCTCCATCCGGCTCGTGAAGCAGCTAGTAAAAGTGGTGACCGCCGTTCTTTGTCTAGTGGATTTATATCTGAGCCTTCAGCAATCAAATAGCTTACGATGTCCGGGTGATCAAACATGGCCGCGCAATGTAAAGGAGTCATCCGCTGTACATCACATGACGTGAGGCATGCTAACTTTTCACCAGGTTGCATTGTAAACATAAGACTCACGATTTCTAAGGCTCCCTGCAAGTAATACAAGTCTAAGAAATACATAATTACACATATAGTATTGTAGCTCACGGTATCCACTAATGTAATACTTAAGTTAATAATAAACTTTTACTAGCTACATAATTATAATTAATTATAAGCATTAAATAAAGTATAATTAGTTTAAAGTAAAAATACTATAAAGAACCTGAGCACAGGCAAGATGGACTGGAGTAGACAGATCGTGTTGTTGCGTTGATATCTTCGCGCCCGACCTTAGACATAGCTCAACAGCCCTGATATCACCACCGTGTACTGCAGAATGCAGGGGCACGTTTCCTTCGTTGTCATACAAGGATATCATTTGTTCCCGAGTGCAACCTTTCGACTCGCCCCATTGGAGAAAGATTTCCATTGTTCTGGACGAAGCATTCTTCGCAGCCTCATGAATTGGATAGTAACCGTTGTTGCATGGTTGCTTCCATTGTGCTCCCATATCCGTTATCTAGTTAAATAAACGTTTACGACTAAATATTTCTGTTCAAAACAATTAATTACAGAGTTAACGTTTTTAATTTTGTTACTATTGTTTATAAATATAAAAAATAAAAACTCAATAATATTTTGAAAGAATTGAAAAGAAAATAGAAAATGAGTTTTTATTTTTTGTAACGAAGCCAAATTTACCAAGATTCTAGCGCAAATATCATGATCATGAATAGCAGCGAAATGCAACGCTGTTCGGCCATGTTCTCCGCCAAGATCCACATTGAATTGGCCTTTGTATTTCGCAAATACTTCGAGCACTGACACCTGAAAATAAATCAATTTGAACGAGTCCTCGACAAATTCATAAAATACGGACAATAATAAATTATAAATCTATATATATAATTTACCTTATTGAGCTCGGTAGCCAAGTGGATAGGTGCTTGGGTTTTTTCATTTAGTAGACTCGTGTTAACTCCCCTAAAACAGTTAACATTCAGTTATTAGTAGCCTACTTTATCCTTTAAATTAATTATTGAAACTATTAAACTGTACACTATCAAATTAAGTAAACACTACACATTAAAAAGACCAGTGACATCTATCGCTGTATTTGGTATAAAGGTATAACTGCTGTGTAATATTATATCTGATTAAATTGTATTTGAATACTTACTGCTGTAATAGAAATTCTATCGCTCTCAGTGATTCATTTTCCACAGCAATGTGCAAAGGCGTATTGCCGGCATTGTCAGGAATGTTGAGATCTAACAAAAGATTTATAGTTGGAATAAGTCTTTTACAGTAATAATATTTACGATATTTTAAATTAGGCTGTTGCTATTCTACTTAAAATAAGGTCGACTTAAACATAATTATTCGTATTTAATAGGACAAATAATAAATAAAGGAGGCTGCTTCAAATAAATGTAAATATTATTCGTCTGACTATTGTCGGTTTGTACGAATATTTACCAGGTTCTTGTTTTCTAATGTAAAATAAGTTTATTTTTAGGTGCAGGAGTTTTTATTTGCAAATAAAAACAACCTAAATCTACTGAGTGAAAACTGATTCTTTTAAATTCCAACGATTTTTAAGTTCAAGAGTTTTAAAGGTTAAAAAAAAAAAAAATATTTTTAAATGCAACTCCTCCTGCAACATTCTGTATGCAATAAAACCTTAACCTACCGAGCTGACAATATTTTAAGATATGAATATCTAATAGGTAAATAGTATGTATTTTACTTATCGAAATATATTAGATTTGCTTTGCATCGGCTGGCACCGACTTCGAAAATATCTGACTAGGTATCTATTCTGAATGAAAACCTCCGTTTAGTTATTTTTTACATTTTAGTGCCTGGAAGTCGGTTTTTATTTTTTGTTAAAAAAAATTATTATTTATATATTTTATATAGGACGAATTGACACTCCGTTTAAATTAAGTATCATAAAAATTTAAAATTTTTAAACTTTTCAGTTTTAAAATATTTAAAAGGTGTGACAGAATAAAGTATAAACATGTTGAATAGTAGGTTCTTCCTTAGGTTTGAAAATGATTAGTAATAAAAGACCACAGAAATCTTAATAATATTACCTTATTATTAAGATTTCTGTGTAAAAGACTATACCTAACTAAGAGATAATAGAAAGAGTGCCGTTTTAAATTTTAAATATAATACATAATATATTAGTAATTTAATACTTTAAATAAACTATTTTTAATTTTTGCTAATATATTAACGTACAAGGTACATAATATATTGTCATAATCTATATATTTAATAAAATTCTAAGTGAGTCGAATCTGTACATAAATGTATTTCGGAAAATCTTATTGAATAGCCGAATTTATATTTTTTAGAACTTTTGTCTGTCGGTCTGTCTGTCTGTCTTTCTGGGAAGGCATTACGAGAAAACTATTGGACAGATATTGATTGTTTGGTATGGTGATAGCTGGTTATCCAGGTCAACATATAGGATACTTTTTACTGTGGGAAACTATCTCATCTCTGACACATAGGGATGAACCCGAGCGGAGCGATGGTGAGTCGCTAGTACAAAATTTTTAAAGGTCAAGATCAGCTGCCAAGTGCGAGCTATGCATAAAAAATGAATAAACGTTTCACTCTCGCGGTTTAACACTGTTTTGCAATTATTCGGTCAAGTACTTAGCGAGGCGACTAAGGATAGAAAAATATTCTTTAAGGTCGTAAAAAATTATTCGACTTCTTAATGTAAAAGTTTTAGAATTTCATAAACACCTTTTAGTAATTATACATTTTGGATTATCTTACCGGGTTAAAATTTCGTATTATAATTTTAATTTAAGGCTATCTTATCAATTAGTTTAATACTCTCATGAAGTAAATAAATAATTATGTTGGTCACATAAACAGGATCAAAACAAACATAGCGTAGACATCCGTCAGACAGAAGATTGATATGATGAGAGTATCACTTTTACTGTACTTCCTACGCACTTTACTATGTCGGGATATAGGTCTACATTATTTATTGCCAGTTTCCGCCTGCTGATTTGCTGGAATATTATGAAAGAAATAAATAGTCTGTGGCAGTAGGAGCCCAGTGGGACCGCGTCTGCTTGGGAAACCAATTGAAGCGAATTCATATCCCGACTATCGCACCTCTGATATTTCTAGCAAGTTTTTAATGACACGTGAAGTCGCACTCGTTAAAGTATTGAAGTTAAAAAAGAGATATTAATCAGAATCAGTTTTTTTAATGAAAAATGGGAAAAGATGCCCGTATTCTGTGCTGTTTTTGATAATTTCGTGTTACCAGTTGCATATAATTGTCTTGTTACTATAACGCTAGGTATGGTATTATTAATAATAATACGGACACAGTTACTCTTGTTAAGACAGAATTTTAATAAATCCTAATAGGGATGATTAATTTATGAATTTTCAGATTACGAATGCTTGTAATAAATTAATAACATTTTTGTCCAGGTTTCATAAAAAAATAAAAACCGACTTCAAACAAAAGCACTAAAAAGTAAAAAATAACTGATTGGTAGTTTTCATGTACTATACATACCTAATCCAATATTTTCGAAGTCGGTGTGTTTTGCTTTGGGCTGGCACCGATTTCGAAAATATTTGATTAGCTATGTATTTAATAGGTAGGCTTTTATTGCTTAGCCAAATCACACCGACTTCGAAAATATTTGATTAGGTATGTATAGTAAATGAAAACTACCAATCAGTTATTTTTTACTTTTTAGTGCTTTTGTTTGAAGTCGGTTTTTATTTTTTTGTTAAAAAGTTTTTATTTTTCCTTTTTAATGTAGACAGTAAGAATTCTAACGTGTTAGGCTTGTCAAATCAAACAAAATAAGCCCAAACTCAAAGTATCTACTATTAGCCGTTGAAGAGTTCCACCTATCCACCTTCTGGCCTTACCGTCAGATCAGGTCAACAATACCGAACCACTGTACTATCAACGGAAATAGAAACACTTACAAAGCTTCAAGTCAATATGACAATTAGAAGTAGGTTAAATTCATCATTAGCTATTTTTTCACTTTTAGGGGTGGTATTTTATTTTGAAATTTTAATAGGACCAATCTGGAAGTATACACTTTCAAACAACACAAAATTTGTCCAAATCGGTTAATAAATGACGGAGTTCTGAGGTAACAAACATAAAAAAAAAATACAGTCGAATTGAGAACCTCCTCCTTTTTGAAGTCGGTTGAAGATTAAAGTAATAATTGTTAACTGTATCTACCGTGAAAACTAACGTTACGTGTACGATACGTTTATTTCTTGCAGAGAGTAAGAGTTTTTTTTAATAAATTTTTAGAATTACCACCTATCATGTTATCAGAAATAACTTTATCAAGAACAATTACTAGCGACTTACCTTCGCTTCGCTGGGGTGCGTCCCCAAGTACGTTTTAAATATAAATAGTTATTGCGAGTGTACCTTAGGAGATAGAGTTATGTACTGTACTGCAGGCTTTTCTGTAGGCCTTTTAAGATCTACAATTTTCTAATACATTGTTTTCTTGTATCTGTTAAGGTTTACCTAGCGAAGCCATGTAAATTTCTAAGGATGACTCGATAAAATTCAGTTATGGTGTTTTCCAAGGGAATGAAAGATATTCCTGCGGTAAAAGATATCCTAAATGTTGACCCAAATAATAAGTTATAACTACACATTTTTTTGATATCGGTGCAGTACTTTTTGTGTGAAACACACACATACAAACAGGCAAACAGACATATGGATAAACGGACAAACATTTTAATAATTATTGTTTTGTCTATATTCTGTACACAATACGTTACAGTCATTTAAAAAATATTTCGTGTACAGATTTCGCTAAGTTACTTGTTTATCATATGTACTGTATGTATGCGAGTTAAGTAATATGTATGCGAGATAAGGTGTATTTATTAATATTTTTCTTAGGATATACAGACAGTTTACTTTTGCTATAGCGATAAAGCAAAGCATTTTGCACTACTATTCTGGGACATAACATTTTATGTACATTCGTGCATTTGGATCACGGTTCGGTTATGGTACAATATCAATAACATAGATTAAGATGTGTACATTTACTCACTATATATGTGTATGATATATTTAGTATATTTGTAAGTTTTGAGTGCTCATTAAACAAATTTTTAACCATAATAATTAAGATTTATTTTTCGTTCCCTGTAATAAAGTACCTATAAAAACTACACCACCTTGACTAGGTAGGCTATGTATATGTAGTAAATACTATTTAAGCATTCAGTCCGTGTGTGAATTGAATCTACAACCTCTGGTATAATAGTATTATAGTAGCATTTCCCGCGGTTCCCCCCGCATTCAGATGACAAAAAACCAAATTCTTAGGTATTACATATTAGTATACTCTTACATTACAGCGTATGTATTTTTTCTCAGAAATGAGATATTTTCACGTGGTAAAAAGTATTCTATATGCTGACCCGTATAACCAGCTATCACCATATCAAATTTCATCAAAATCCCTCTAGTGGTTTTTCTGTGATGCGGTAACAGATAGACAGACGGACAAAAATTCTAAAAGCTATAGATTGGGCCTCTGTATCGATAATAATGTTTATTTCAATAAGATTTTCCAAAAAATATCTTATGTACAGATTCGGCTTACTTACAATTTTATTATGTGTGTAGATGAATGTCGTTTAATAGTAAAAATGCTCACCTCCATTATTATTTTTTATGAAATGCAGTATGTTGACGTTGTCCCGCGCGGCGGCTTGGTGTGCGGCGGTGCGCCCGCGCGTGTCCCGCACCGACAGTCGCGAAGGCTCCGTTAAGTATAGACGACGAAAATCTTCGACATTTCCACTCTCTGCAGCCTAATTGTAAAAACAAAGTTTTATTACATGAAACCAAAATTAGAAGATCACCTAAAATATATAATTAAATTGAATATACCTATATTATTAAATGTATATAATTAAATTAATATATTCTATATAATTAAATGTTTTATCATATAACTGAAATGTAAACTTTATTAGGAAAATTGTAAGATATTATGTAATTGTAAGATATGATATATATGAACGGAGATCTAAAATGAAGGACGTCCACGTGCATCGAGGCACCGACGCATTTTCAATCTGTTGGTAGCATTAATATTTTATATTATACGTAACTTCTATTATACCAGTAGAAACTCAAAGTACCGGATATTAAACCTTCTTAGCAATGAAGGATTATTACATTTTCCTTTGAATAAGGATGAAAATAAGATTTTTTTATATTTCGTAACATCCTAAAATTATTATTATATAATACAATATGTGTCATAAGTATGGCTAATTTAGTAATATCTGTTGTATTCAATACTAATAATAATCAAAAATTGTAATATATTTATTTATGCGTGAATTATAAATCACTTATATCATTCACAAGAATTTCTTCTGATTTAAAATTATTATTTACGTAACGTAAGTAAAAATTGTAGGAATAAAACTTTATAACGAAGAGCTTAATATAATCCAAACGTAATTAACAGGAGCCTTTTCATATCTTGTTGCTAGCTTGGTAGAGATGGTAATAAGGCACTGCCACACGCGTTAGAAACGGAATAAACATAAATGTGCAATGTTTATGCAAATTACCCAATATTTTGGATGGATTATCATTTTTATTGTTTTGTTATTCAGTTTTAAGTATCATAATTGATTTTTGTATCTGAATAAAATATCAATTAGAAATATAAAATATAAATTTTTAACCCCCGACACAAAAACGACGTGGTGTTATAAGTTTGACGTGTTTGTGTGAGTGTCTGTCTGTCTGTGGCATCGTAGCTTCCGAACGGATGAACCGATTTTGATTTTTTCTTTTTGAAAGGTCAATTAGTCGGGAGTGTTCTTAGCTATGTTTGATGAAAATCCGTTCAAAATGGTCGGGGGTTTCTTAAATTTTTAATTTATCACTTGAGTTATAGCTATGTACGATTAATTCGTCGTAAGCTCAACTGTGATTTAAAATATTTTTAACATTTACAATTGTTAAAATTTAAAAGTACTAACGTGTATTTTAATTTGCTTATTTCTTTTAATTGTTACATATCTGCAATGTAAAAGAGTTTTTTTCAGTTTATCATTAGTGATTGTTGCACCATTGCAACAATGTTGTGGCTGTTGTTATAAATGAGGATAGTATAGCTCACTTTATATTATGCATCTAGTGACACACCTATTTTTGTGTACTAACAAAATTAATATTAAACATAATATATATATCTATACAAAATACTTTTATTGCAGTTAATAGTGAAAACTTATTACTCGGGTCATCACTTAGGATACCTTTTACTGGAAAACCACGGTAAAGCACAATAACTGGTTGGGGCGAGTTAGCCATCATACAAACATTTTTTACACAAACATGATTAGTAGCAGAATTAAAATTTAACATTTTTATCTTATTATTATATCTATATATAATCTCTCATTATCGCAAGTAACTCTTCTATATTTATACATAGTATAAAACAAAGTCACTGCCTGCTATTGTTACGTCATATCCGAACCGTCATTCTTTTGCATGGGAGCTTCTTTCGTTCACTTAACATCCCCTTTGAAAATCACACGCACTCGAAAATTGATTATTTTTCACATTTTTTATACTTTCGTGCGGCCACTCCGACATTGGAAACCAGATTAGTATACCTTTTCATATAACTTTCTTTTCTTTCTACTATCTAATTTTCAAAATCCTGGGGACTTGGATTTTGAAGATTATATTGTACGACGCTCGAGTAAATCGCTATTTAGTATCCTGGGCTCACCTACTATAGAACATTCTTATACTTTTAGAGTGGGCTTTACGAGCTTATATCGATTTGTAGTATTTATTGAGTATCTATTATAATAAATGTTTTCGAAGTAATCATTTAAATAATTAATTTGCAGATAAGTAGTAGGTTTATTACAATTTACAAGGTAAATAGCAAAGTCCACTCCAATGATAGATATAAAATGAGTTTGGAAAAAATCCCAATTCACCTTTCTTACCATGCGAAACTATTAAAAACATAGTAAAAGAAAGATCATTATAATGAATACTGAAAGTAACGAGTAGCTGCAGTTCTCCTTGGAGGATTCAGCCGGAGACAAGGTAATCAAGAAGTGCGAGATTAATAACAGTTAGGACGTACAGCCACCTTGTATTAGTAAAAAATAAATATATACATATTCAAGAGATTTTAAGCCATATTAATTACTACTTCTTCAAATACTACTAATGCTAACGATATTATAAACGCGAAAGTTTATGAGTATGGATGAATGAATGAATGGATGTTTGTTACTCTTTTACGTAAAAGCTACAGAACGGATTTTGATGAAACTTTAGAGTAATATAGCTTATACATACATCAGAGTAGCACATAAGCTATAATTTTTAAAGATATAAAAATATATAATTGTACTATGCGTGTGTAAAAAAATCTCGTTAGTGCGTACCTCTTTTTAATTGCGTTTAACTATTTTCAAAAGAAATCAAAGAAATGGATGAAAAAAGTTCGAATTCTTTATGTTATGGACACTTAAATTTATTTCCTCATTACAAATCTTTACTTGTATTACACAGGAATAATATTTTTTAATGCTTGGCACGTGAAAGCTTTGTATTTTTCTATGATCTTCCATGAGTATGAGTTTCCATGGCAATGCTTTCTAGAAAGAAACATCTTTTTTACATTTATATTTTATACTTACTATTACTGTTACTCACGCAATTTCCATTAGCTTGTTATCGTCATCAGAGGCATATATTATGATATCTTTATTTCAACTTAATATTATGGAAAAATCCTTCAATCAATAATACTGCTAGAAATCGGGTCGGCGTAAGAAATCCGTCTTGGTAAATATAAGCTCACGTGCAAAGTGAGCGTATATTTCGATTAGTTCCATTTAAACACTGCGAACGTAGACATTCACAAGGCCGCAATGTGTATTTAAAAATTGCAAAAATAATGCGCGAAGAAAAAAAATTTCAGCCAGAATGTCTTATTTCGGTAAGTATATGTAGATTAAGTCAATATTTTAAGATTTAAACTACGAAATACTATAAAAATGAAATTTTGAACAATTTTAAATCCGCTAAGAACGTTGGTCTAGGTTGGCCAACACACTCGCAAATTCAAAGAAGCAAACAGAAACAAAAGAAGTGCTTTAGATTTTTAAATATAAGGTTGATTTTACAATAAGGATTATAAAACTTACGAAATGACCGTAAGTATATGATGATAATTTGAAGATTTGTGACTTTATTACAAGGTGCTATGGTGATTAGGTTGAAAATAAAACTATTACAAGACTTTGTCTTGGTTGGTTAGTATACAAACGTAGCTGTATAAGTACATATTCGCGCGGACAGAATTTAGGTTTGATTTTGTATGTGACACGCTAGCTAGTAGTATTGTTGATCGAAGGAAAAACATATTTGAAATTATTATGAGGTAAAACTACATGAAACCAAAATTAGAAAATCATCTATATAATATCTAGTTATGATTATTGTGTCAACGTTTAACACTTTTTAAATGTTTCTTACATAGACAACATAGTAAAAATTTAAACATTTAATTATAGTTAAAATATATATTTAAATAGAATATATCCATTCTATTCTATATTCTATATAATTAAACGTTTTATCATATAACTGAAATCTTTATTAGGAAAATTGTAAGATATTATAATGAACGGAGATCTAAAGTGAATGACGTCCACGTGCATCGACGCATTTTCAATCTGTTGGTAGTATTAGCAATTTACATTATACGTAGCTTCTATTATACCAGTAGAAACTCAAAGTACCGGATATTAAACCTTCTTAGCAATGAAGGATAATGTAACAGATTACACTTTCCTTTTAATAAGGATGAAAATAAGATTTTTATAATTCGTAACATCCTACAATTATTATTAATATATAATATAATATGTGTTATAAGTGCGGCTAATTTAGTAATAACAATAATTAAAAATTGTATTAATTGTACTCATACTGCGAAAATTCGTTTTCTCGGTATTTTCACGCAAAAAGATTTGCCTGTGCAATATAGTTCGTAATTTTGCCGCCACCAATGCCGTCTGAATAGCTTAATAGCTAAAGCGTCGGCCTACTGCGCCGAAGGTCAGAAATTTTCGTTTTTTTTTTCATGTATGTCCGAAAAGGCTCTGGATCAAATTTTGTATTTAGATAAGGTTTTCCTTTTTAAATTTATCTATATAGGTGTTTTTTCCGAAAAAAAATACCGCAATTTTGTATTTTGTGGAAAAACACGATTTTACAAAACGTTGAGCGAAGCTCGGCCGTTAAGATACTATATAATGAAATGAGATTAAGATCAAGAGTAAAAAAACAATTTTCGAATGATAAAGTTATGATAAAGGTTTATAAAAATATGTACCTAATGCTATCATCTTATCATTTTTTTTAAAATAAGTTATACCAAGTATGTCCTAAAATGATAAATTGAATATACAATAGTAATGAACACCTATCATGTCAGCAGGTAATCATTGTTTCGATTAAACAATTAAGCAATCAACTTATTGCCATGGTGTTCGCAATGCAATTAGTTCTTTACTACTGCCCAACTCGATAATAATGATAATATAACTAATTTGCTTAGATATAAAGTTATGGGGTGAAAGAATTAACTCTGAATCCAGATATTTAATGAAATATAAGTAATTTTTTTTCAATACATAATAATAAGTATATATGTAAACTGTTAAGCGATGAAGCTTTGTTGGTGATATGGTAATGGCATTTTCAGAATGTTAAGTCATAGCATTTAAAATATATAGTGTATTTTTTTTAGCTGCGCACACAAGTGATATATTGACAGACTTGCTCTACCAACTAATTTTATATTTACTAATTTTATTAACACTATGAAGTATGCAATTCATAAAATTATGTCTAAAAACAAAAATCTTGCCAATATTATTAAAAAACTATGTTTTTATTACAGCTTGACTCGCACGTTTAAGTTACTTATGCACATCACATACTCGCAGGTACAGGTATAGTTCTTACATGTAATAACTAGCAGAACCCGCGGATTCGCTCGCGCTAAAACTACAAGAAAAATTCTTTGGCTTTATGCTGTTAGTAATAATTTGATGGCTGTAATGATTTTCAAATGTGTATGGTTGTGACTCGCGTATCCAGGGTACCCAATGCGCGATGCCGTACCACCGAATATTGTGTTGAATTTACTAACATTAAATGTACAAGCAAATAAAAATTTTACGTTTTCGCAATACATATTTCATTATTTGCCATAATAAGTTTAAGAGCATTTTATACTATTTTTTAAAGATATTATGGAAAACAAAAACTTTAGTGATCGTAATTCAAAACATGCAGTATCTGAAAAGTTATTTTACGTATATTCTGTATAGCCTGATTGCACTCTCATTGAAGGGAGGCCCGTGCTCCATAGTGGGACAATAAAATATGCCAAATGAGTCTATTTTCTATTTCAAAATAACAAAAATTCCCGACAGCAAAATACCAATGGAGGTTACGTAAAGATTTTGTTCTTATGTAGATTATAAAATAAATAATAACCAGTATAGTAATATAAAGTGTAACTAGGTAGTAGGTAATATAAAAGTTTATGACTTAAATTTTTTTATATGCACAAAGCGTATATAACGTAGTAAGACGTTCTTTATTTTATTTGAATGTCACACGCATAAAGCATACACGTGTAGACAAACTAAACTTAAAATCTAAGTGAGGTCAGATAGAAAAGCAAAGGTAAAAATATAGCCGTAGATTTTTTCCTTTACTACCTTTCCCCTATTTTATTTTTTTAATTATGTTGGCACTTGTTTGTGGCTTGCATACGCGTATGCATATATGTATTAAAGACTAGCGACTCACCCTCGCTTCGCTCGAGTTCGTCCCTAGGTTGCTTCCACACGTAAGTTTTCACTCCCACCCTTTTTACCCCTTTAAAGAAAGATTTTCGGGATAAAAACCGTCCTAAGTTCTTTCCAGGATCTCAAACTATCTTCTCACCAAATTTAGTCTAAATCGGTTCAGTAGTTTCGGAGCCTATTCGATATAAACAAACAAACGACAAAAACAAAAATTTCCTCTTTGTAATATTAGAATAGAAGAGCATTCAGCAGAAAATACTCGTTCCTTATATCATACTAGCAGTTCCCGCGGCTCCGCCCGCGTTCAGATGACCAAAAACCAAATACTTAGGTTTTACATATTAGTATACTCTTACATTGCAGTTTTTGTATTTTTTCTCAGAAATCGGACGGACGGACGGACGGACAGACAGACAGACAGACAGACAGACAGACAGACAGACTAAAATTCTAAACACTAATATAATTATAATGTTTATTTCAATAAGATTTTCCAAAAAATATTTAATGTACAGATTCGATTGATTTACAATTTTATTATATATATAATAAATTTGTATGTAAATTGTGTGCTTTGCTTTCTATTGGCTGGCACCGACTTCGAATATATTTGATTAGGTATGTATAGTAAATGAAGACTGACATTTAGTAAAATTCACTTTTATTGGTAACACTAAAAATTCTGGCTCTAAAATCCGATTCTAACGTAGGCTTGTCAAATCAAACAAACTAAGCCCAAACTCAAAGTATCCACTATTAGCCGTTGAAAAACTCCACCTATCCACCTTCTGGTCTTATGTCAGATCAGGTACCGACGATACCGAAACACTGTACTATCAACAGAAATAGACACACTTTCAAAGTTTCAAGTCAATATGACAATTAGAAGTAGTTTAAATTCATCATTACCTATTTTCTCACCCTTAGAGGTGGTATTTTTATTTTTGAAAATTAAATGGGACCAATCTGGAAGTATACACATTCAAACAAAACAAAATGTGTCTAAATCGGTTAACAAATGACGGAGTTCAGAGGAAACAAACATAGAAAAAAACATACAGCCGAATTGAGAACCTCCTCCTTTTTGAGGAAGTCGGTTGAATAGTAATCGTCAAAAAGAATACAAAAACAAGGTGTAAAACTATAGGCAGGCCAGAGCTTATATAAAATATATTGCGATATTTATCTATATTATTAAAATATTATCATTGTCTCTTGATTGTCTGATGTGTTATAAAAGATTTGATTTGATCAATAAGATGCCAATAAATGTAAGGATAATATGTTGCTGTCCTCGTGGTTTACAATAAAAGCTATTGCAATAACATTCAATAAAGTAACAACAGATACTCTACAGAATATTATTGTAAGAGATTCAACATATGGAGTTACAAATATATAAATGAGGATGGATATATTCGCAAACCGACTCTTATAGCCAATATGAGGATTATGTGGTGGACCTGTAAGTATGTATAACAGATGTATGTCCGACCCTTTTTATTTTTAGGTCGTTAGATTCGTCGTGATAACGCGAGTGTCAGGCTACATAGATATTAAAATCAAAATGGTGGATCTTAGGCGTCAATTTGTATGTCATGTAAAACTTTTTTCCCTCCGAATCAATCGAGTCTGATATCAAAATAAAGGGTTTTAAGAGGCAATTATAAAATTATATACAACTCATATATTTAAAAGTAATTTGGGATAAGAAATCGTTAAATAACACTATAACTATCTAACTGACCAACACTAAAAAGCTTTAAGTAGAAAATTACAAAAATTAAAAACTCGATTGCGTAAACTAACTCGAACTAGAAAGACGAGAACAAGTTGGCGAAGTAACATACAGTATTATGCAGTCGGAGACACACATGTTTTATACTTACTGCAAGTTTAGCTACGATGTCACCAACTTTTTGAAAGGATTGTCCAAATTTTATTAAAAAAAAACAAAATAAAACCCTTATTGAGGTTGGACTAGCTTAATTCTATTAAGAGGGGAGACTGACCAGGGGTTATTAACAGAGTGGGTTTTGATTCAAGAATTATGTAGAAGCAATAAAAGAAATATTATAAAATTGATATTAATTCAGCTTCAGCTCACCATAAAATCATAAAATAATACTAAAATTTTATTTATGCTTACATTTTTATTAGGGACCTTGCTATATTAAAATAAAAGCTTATTGCAGTTATATGAAATACACAAATTAGCATACAATAAAATTAGTTTACATAAAGTGAGTTTATCTCTAGAAGAGATCTCTCTCTTTCAGTCAACCTATGGTAGTGAGACATCTATCTAAAATATTTAAACGAGCAATTCTTGTATATATATACAAGATATAATCTATATATATCAATATATAATCTGAATCTCGGAAACGGCTCCAACGATTTTCATGAAATTTAGTACACAAGGGGTTTCGGGGGCGATAAATCGATCTAGATTAGTCTGGAAAAACGCGTGTTTTCGAATTTTCATGCGGTTTTCTTTTGTATTATTCCATGCAAAATATTATGTTCGATAATTTCGCATGCTCGGATATAAGCATCATGGTCAAGCGGCCAAGGCGCGAGATTGAATAAGTGTCTGGGTTCGAATCCCGGGCGGGGATACAAAGGTATAATTATTTTTTGTTTTTTTTTTTTGTATTCATTCAAGTTTTTTGTTTTTTTTTTAATTGTACTTCCAACCTAAAACTCCGAGCGAAGCTCGGTGACCTAGGTACTATATATAAAACGCAAAAGTGATTGACTGATGTATCAACGCACAGACCAATCCCTTAAGACTAGAAAATTGAAATTTAGCACACGTATTCCTCATATGACGAAGGCAACTAAGGAGGATTTTTCAAAATTCAACCCCCAAGGGGGTGAAATAAGGGATAAAAGCTTATGAAACTTTTTATTCCTTGGACATATTTACATGAAACGAAATTTCATGTTCAAGGTCTGAATGAAGGTCTGAATTGAATACGGCAAAAATAATGAGTTAATGAGTGTTACAGCGTTTTCTAAAATTCAACCCTTAAGAGGGTAAAATAGGGGATGATAATATAAAGCCAAAGAGTTTTTTTGTAGATTGAACGCGGGCGTAGCCGCGGGTCCTACTAGTAGTGTTTTAAAGCAGGAGTGCAGTTATAATAAAATAAATAATAGTTATTATGGAAATGAAAGGAGATCAAAAATCACTTTAAAAATTAACATTTATGTTTGTGTTTCCTTCCTTTGTTTTTTTTTTGTTGTAAATTATATCACAGATATTAAAAAAAACAGCTTAAAAATATATGTAACCGATACTAATATTAGGACTATATTAAAATAAATCATAATTAAAATTTGATTATTAAATTAATAAACAATTTTTTTTATTAAAAATATTTATGTCATAGTATTTTAAGGTTTTGTGTTTTTGAAGTACTGTAAGTATATAATATAAAAAAATGTTAATGAGATTTTTATCTAGTAATTAAAATCGCTTAAATAATTTTGTTTATATATTTAATAATGATTTATTTTTTAAACAACTATCAGTCTAACGCACGATCGCGCTTAAGTTAAGTAATAGTCTAGTTAACACGTATGTAAATGCTAGTTAGTTTGTAAGTAAACTTAAAAAAAACTGTTTTTTTTAATGAGTTGCTTAGACTCTATAAAAGTGACCGAAATAACTAATGCATGTTGTAAAACTTACCCCTAATAGATCTTCAATATTTATTTTGTGAGTGAGACCCAACAGTTTTGACATATTTCTCGGCAATCTCTTGGCGCCGTTTTTAAGTTGTTGTATGTCCGTCATTCTCTTCAAATAATAGTTAAATGGATCCATTTTAAATTAAGAAAACATATCAACGAAACTATAATTAATGTTTTTTAACTCTATCACTATTAAAGTGTTAGAACATGAGTTATGATTTTTATGTTCTTGTGACAAATACACAGTGACTACTTAAGAATGATTTGGGGAGAACGAGTGAATCGTCCCGCTCCGTCGCTCAAACTGAGAGTCTGAGGATGTCTGCCTCCCCCTGTAAATGTGCGCGTTACAGGTGTAAGCGAGTAGGCTCTATCTGCTTTATTATAACCCTACACTGGACGAGGCTAGGTTTACTTAATCCCATTTATCCTCCTGTTTATTGCTTCCACCGAAACAAATTCTTAAGAATCTTTTCGTTTGATACTATTTGTGTAATTAGGAAATTTATTTGGATATAAGAAAGTCTTAAAATATTCTAGCTAGATATACTTAACATTTATTTGTTTTACGTTTTCCTGAAAATATAACTAATGTAAACAAATAACAGTGATATATGTAACATATTTTATATGCATATAGCATATTTTGAGATATTTTTCGATCAATCTGATAACTATTTACCCTTTAGAAAATTATAACATATCTGGTATAGGAATAGGGAGTAGGGATTTTTGTTAATATTTCTTTATGGCCTAAATAACCAAGACTTCTTATTATAAAGGAAAATAATTCCTCGCTACCAAAAAAAAAATAAGTATTATATAAACGTTTTAACGTTTAGTATAGATTTCTCAGAGATAAGATATTTTCCCGCAGTAAAAAGTATCCTATATGTTGACCTGGATAACCAGCTATCATCATGCCAAATTTCATCAAAATTTGTCCAGTGGTTTTCTCAGACAAACAGACAAAAATTCTAAAAACTATATACGGCCTCTATATCGATAAACATGACAATTTCAATAAGATTTTCCGAAAAAATATTTAATATACAGATTTGATTCAACATTAATTCGCGTCATCTCTCGTGATAGGAACTAGGAATTCTGGGCCACTCTGCATTACTTTTTTTTAAATGAAATTGTATTTGTAGCATTTAGAAAAACCTTAATAGATCTGAATTTATTTACGAGTATCTAGAAAGAATATGAACTGATCTTTGGAAGCTATTTAGAGCATATAGGTACAATGTACATATTGTGATGTTAAAGTGTCACTATATTTTTAACTAGCGACTCATCCTCGCTTCGTTTTGGGTTCCTCCGTAGACAAAGAAATCTATCCCACGGGACCGTACATTTTTTCGGGATAATATAGGTATATAGGCTTTCTCAATAAACGGACTATCTTAATGCAAAAAGAATTTTTCAAATCGAATTAGTAATTCCTGAGATTAGCGCGTTCAAACAAACAAACAAACTCTACCTTTATTATATTAATTAGATAAATACTTCGAATTTGCAACTGTACATGCTAGTCGCTAGGCAACGAGATACTATGTAGTCAAACATAGCGTAACATAATGTAATTACAGGTTTTGTTTTAATATTATCAAGTTTGAATCATTGATCTTATACTCGTAAAGTTATCTGCCGCTGTTTTGGTCTTCACATTAAATTTTATTTTATTGGAAAAATTATGTCGATATTTTTTAATTCAACAATAATTATCAATTTTCTGTGTTTACAATTACGCATTATTCGAGAAATGCTCGCCAGTTTATAATGTACTTTTTATGTTTCACCGGTGAATTTCAATTAATAAAAATAATTACAACAATGTAACAGAGGGACAGACAGACAAAAATTCTAAAAACTATAGATTCTGCCTCTGTATCGATAATAATGTCTATTTCAATAAGATTTCCCAAAAAATATTTAATGTACAGTTTCGGCTTAGTTACAATTTTCTTATAATATGTATAGATTTAATTAATTATAACAGTAATAAATTTCAGTTTGCAATTTGCAGCCCATTTAAACGAAGTAACCATGATTATATCTTTTAAACTGGATAAATAATATAAATTGAAATCTATTTTGCACGAAACGACGATGTCACAGATTACTTACAGGTATGAGAAGCGAATAGGATTTCCTTTAACAATAAATATAATCTGCGTGATTTAATAGTTATTTACAGCAAAACAAAACTGTTGCATTTATGACGATAACAATAATTCAACATGAACTCTTTCATCCATTACCTTTTTTAAATTTATGGTTTTATTTTATTATATTTATTTGAATATCACATTAATGTTCTTATATGTGTGTGTATGTGTTTGTTGCTTTTTTATGCTATAATCGCAGTCGAACTATTATAAATATAAATATGTTACGTTATGTACGTAAGTCACGAGGCTTGTGTAATGGATACCAGATAGTTGATATACTACACACATATAACTTCAAATACATACATAATATTATTATAAATATAAACAGCCATGACTGGAGTACAAATATTTGTGGTCTACGAATGAATGCCTCCAGCGGGACTCGAAACCGCTACCACTGGCACAGCAAGTAGGGTCACTACAAACAGCCAAACGTGTCGTCCAATTATAGTGCATAATGTTGTTAAGATGGATAAACGGATTTTGTTTATAATATCAAAATATTCATATATATTAAAATTATAATAAATCACAAAATTTTCTGATTTACCGGAGCAAAAATTACAAATTATTACATTTAGAGCCTCATACTTCACGGGAAAAATAAGTATTTTAAAAATTGAAAATAAATTATATCTATTGTATGATTTAAAAATCGTAAAACAATATTTATAAAGTTATATTGTATAGAATAAATTATTTAGTATTAACTAACCTGTGTCAATGAAATGTGCGAAATTGTATTCGCTCGACGAAATAGGAACATTCTTTACTAAGTGTTGTTTTAAAAAATGATTCCATAGCCGCGTCCCCCTATAATGTCGCCGGCCGCTATGCTACATTAAAGCATTCACAGCACCCACGCTAAGTGGCTTTTATCTCTTAATCATAATTACATTACATACATTAGCCCATTACTATAGCTGTAAATTGAGTACTAATACGTGTAGTTTGGTAACAGACAGTAAAGCAAACACTTTTTATATTGACGGCACTCTAGGTAGAGTATAGGTCTAGATATCTATACATATAATAAAATTCTAACTGAGTCGAATCTGTACATTAAATATTTTTTGGAAAATCTTATTGAAATAGACATTATTATCGATACAGAGGCCGAATCTATAGTTTTTAGAATTTTTGTCTGTCTGTCTGTCTGTTACCGCATCACAGAAAAACCACTGGAGGGTTTTTGTTGAAATTTGGTATGGTGATAGTTAATTATCCGGGTCAACATATAGGATACTTTTTACCGCGGGAAAATGTCTCATTTCTGAGAAAAAATACAAAAACTGCATTGTAACAGTATACTAATATGTAAAACCTAAGAAATTGGTTTTTGGTAATCTGAACGCGGGCGGAGCCGCGGGCATAGCTAGTACTTATATAAAATATTTAGTAATATTGTAAGGTACAATAATATGTTACTTTTAGTCACTATCCAAACTGGTTTGATTCATGAAACTTAGAATCAATTTTTCTTATATAATTTATTCTCCATTATTGATAGTATTTTCTGGCCAAAAGTACAATTTTCTTTTTAATTTGGCTTAAAAACAAAAAAAAACCCCTAAAAACTTGAATAAGTACAAAAAAAAACAAAAGTAAAAACTTTGTATCCGACTGGGATTCGTACCCGGACACCTGTGATTGTCAATTTTGCGCCTTGGCCGCTTGACCACGACTGCGTTTTCTACTTTGGAAAACGTACTTTGAGCGAGAATAAAATGTATAGCCTACGCCAAGGGATTAAATAATATTTTTAATATAAAACATTACAATACTTTCAAAAATATGAAATAAAAACGTTGCTTATGCTATATAAAATGAAGGCAATTAATTACAAGGTTAATAATATACTCAGTTTCTTTATCTTATTAGATAGTAACGCCCTCTAATGTTAGAGCTTTTTTGGGTACCTAAAGCTATCACACATGCATATGTAGCTTAACGAATAATGTCAATCGATCACTTACCATGTTTACATTCTATTCTTACTAAACCGATTTTTTAATTAATAAAGATATCTAATTTTTGATTTTAATGTTTGTCCTATTAGTAAATCAGAATAAAGTAAAAAGGAATATATCGCGGAATGAAAGTAAATTTTGGCATATTTTAAGTCGCTTAAAGTCTCACATGCTTCAAAAGATTACGACGTCCGGTTTTATATAAATATCGTTTCTTTGATAAAACTGATATTTTAACTTATTACAATACTTATAGAACATAAAATTCTATAGAGATTATGTGCGTTTTCATCTCATTTATTCGTTCAGTAAGAGTTAGAGTTGTTGCTTGCGAAAAGCTTGCCAAAAAATTCTATGTAGTAGCACGGAGTTGAAAAGTTCGTGGAATTATAACTTCGTTCGGACCATGAATACATATTTATTCAGTGCACGTGTGTTTGCTCCCACATGTATATTATATTAAAACTTTTCCAAATACCGCAATTAGGTCAGGAGGATTCGAATTTAATGAACCTATGTAAAGGTGAGTATATATTAGTTTATGAATGTAATTTAGTATACATGACATTCTATATTTTATTAAATGCATCAAAAATATAATTTTAAGCATATTGTTAAATAAATTATAATAACAGTAATTTTTTCTAGCTTCACTCCACTCGCTATATCAATTATTAAGGAATTTGTCACTTAGGTCCTGAAAGATGTAAACGTTAAGATCATTAGTTTTATATAAAAAGTTGCCTGAACAAAACGTATTTATTCAAATTAAATTCGATTTCATTTATTAGTTTACAAAAAAGAACGAAATTCTTGATATCTATTCCCATTTCATACTTAGTTGTTTTTCACATCCAAAGGAAAGACATGAAAAACACGATAAAATGTTTATTATAATTGGGTCTAGGCTTGTCACTCGGTCTGTTCTGATTTATGAAAAGTACTACTCGAAGAGATATAAACACTTATGAATATTCAATCTAGTTACTGATACTTAGAGCAGGTAAATTGACATTCCCCCCCAACGTGCGTTCACCTTGTCGTGGTGGTGGGAGGGTGCGTTCACCTTGTCGTGGTGGTGGTGTATGATTTTTATATACTACCATACTACCATTGCCCGCGGCTACGCCCGCATTCAGATGACCAAAAACCAAATTCTTAGGTTTTACATATTAGTATACTCTTACAATGCAGTTTTTGTATTTTTTCTCAGAAATCAGATATTTTCCCGTTGTAAAAATTATCCTATATGTTGATCCGGATAACCAGCTATCACCATACCAAATTTCATCAAAATTCCTCCAGTGGTTTTGCTGTGATGCGGTAACAGACAGACAGACAGAAAGACAAAAGATCAAAAAACTATAGATTCGGTCTCTGTATCGAAAATGTATGTTTATTTCAATAAGATTTTCTAAAAAATATGTAATGGACAGATTCGGCTTAGTTACAATTTTATTATATGTATAGATAGATTCTGGCAAAAAAATTTATAGTACTATAAAATTATTTATTATGTCTAAAAATATAAATTCACATTTTAAATTGTATATTAGTTTGCATGGAATTCATACATATCATTTTATCCTGCCCATATCCCAAGTAACTTGGGAGAAGAAGAAGGGATTCATACATATTATGTATGTACTATTAAAATATTACCTATACGTTACTTTGAGTGCATTGCTAGCGTTAATGATAAAAAGGTTGTAAATCTACAAGTGTTTTATAGAACCCTTTATCGAATCGAATAGTCATATTATCTATACCTATATGTTTACTATCAGTATAGGTATCGATTTCATAAATGCATTTTCGAATTTTAAAATACTGTATAACATGAACACATGTTTACGTTTACCAGAGTCGTCTGTAAACGAATTTTAACCAATTATTGGGTCTGGCGGTCATGAAACTAGTTATTGGGAATAATTTACTTTTTACACAGGCGAATGAGAATGATATAAGTTCCATTTATTTGTTACGTTAGTATTATATATATAATTGTTTTAATGTTTATAATTTATATATATATATATATATATATATATATATATATATATATATATATATATATATATGATATTACATTATAAGATGGTATATAAAATTATGTTTTACCATTAATGTTACCGTTTACTGTTTTTTAATGCATACTTAAATTATTCTATGTCGTTAATTCTGAAAAAAGTCTTTAGTTGTTCATTTTCTTACTATATTTTTTAAATATTGTCGCTTGCGCATAAATAATTCTTAAAATCAAGCCAATAATAATTAATAATACTTACTATTCATATGAAAATGGAAAATTTTCTTAACCTAACACAGTACTATTTTACAGAATGGAACCTTCACGGACATACACAGAAGAACTCCACCAGCTATTATCACAACCGAATAAATTGTCGGAAGACAACACAGATTACAAACATGCAAACACGTGTAGAAACATTCAATTTTATTTATACGTATATAGAATTTTTGTACATAATTTTACGAACCTTCAATGAGAAGGGGAATAAGCACTCATACTGGTCGAGTGCCGGTTGGTGGAATTTACACGTCTTTCAAAAAATAGTTAAGTTATTTGAAATATGCAAGTTTCTTCACTATGTCCTTTACCGTAAGGTAAGTGGTAATAATTTTGAAATAAAAATATTAGTTACGAAACTCGGGGTTCGTACCCGCTCATTGGGTTTTCTAAGAGAGCGTAATTAACACTATTAGCAATATAGACTATCACTACCTGAGAAGATGCTTTGACCAATTAAAATAAATACTTACCCTAAGTATTCTATATGGACTTTCAGTCAAAAGGCAGACGTCTCCAGATGTGATGGCATCCGGAACTTGATTGGGTAGCATCATCTGCATCTCTCCACCCACATCTGGTAACTTCATGCATGGTTCCCTGTGATGCCCGCTGAGAGCCCACAGCCAACCCTAAAATACATAGTTTTCTGAGAACGTTGACTAATACAAGTATATTATATTTAGATTATATTATTTATTATATTCAGAAATCATTTTATATGTTACGGTATTTCGAACTTAGTTCAAATAGAGCGATCCTGCGGCGTCCCATTAAGGCGGAGGGGAGGAGAATGTCGGGTTTTAGTGGGTAGTATCGGCTCTTCTAGCTAGTGAGCCACACATCACCACCTGGAGGATCAGGTGGTATGCGTAAATGCATTTCCCGACACTAAAAGAAAAGGCACTTGGGATATTCTGTGACTTATCCAAGACCTTTGATTGTGTGCATCATGAGACGCTGATCAGGAAACTGCATCACTATGGTTTTAGAAATAAGGTACTCGACCTTCTGAATTCGTATTTAAATAATAGAATACAGAAGATTGATCTAAATGGTAAGAGATCTCTTAGGCCTCCATTAGATATGGGAGTTCCACAAGTATGTTCGTAAAACTATAAAAGAATTTCCCAAGAATTGTGACATGCATAACATTAATACTAGGAGCAAACACAAATTTGTGATGCCTGTGACTCGTCTACACAGAGTCAGTAATTCTTTTTATGGGCAATGTATACATATGATTATACAACAGGATCCTAGAAAATGTACAAAAAGCTTCTATCGCCAAATACAAAAGAATTGTTAAAGAACGTTTGTGTACTAAAGGCTAATATACAATTAATGATTTTAAAGCAGATAGCACGCCTTGAGAATGAAGTAATCGTCTCCAGGCTACTTCAATTTTATATAAATATTGTAATTTATAATTTAACATTATAAAAAAATATATAATGAAATAATATTAGTTACGCTGAGATTCTTCCGCCAGTTCTTCTCTAAGATCTGAGGATTCTTCTTTCCGAACTGTTAGTAGACTATTTTGAATTTGAATTTGAAAAAGGACATAGGATACTTTTTATCCCGGAAATCATCCCTTAAGGGGGTGAAAATGGGGATGAAAGTTTGTATTGGGAAGCAAGCTAGGAACGAACCTGAGCATAGCGAGTGTCAGTCGCTAGTTAATTCATAAAATTCCCATGAACTCTATAAGTAGGTACGTAGGTACGTCCGTAGCAACTAGCAACTTTAATTTCGTTCTGAAATTGTGTCGTACAACCATTTAATGGGAGCAAGGACAAAGCTTATCACACTATCACCTTCGGTGTAGGTGAAATTTTTGCGTTTTATGGTATTTGTGAATAAAACTAATTGAAGATAATAAATGAAGCTAATAGAAAAGATAAGCTAATTACGATTAAAATATTTAGTTCAATTACGGATTTATTGAAATCGAATATATAAATAATTTAATAAGGACGGAAGTTGATATAATGTTATTTTGATTGTGATTTATTGCTTAGAGCTAACGTAATATTTCACTGCAATATTGAAAAGATTCAAGCAAAGTATTATTTGAATTTAGTTCAACATCATAATAACAAAATAAAATTTGTATTGTAATATACGTATAGATTTCAATACTACATTTATCCATAATATTGAACATATGAAATCGTAGCACGAATTTTATCCCTTGTTCTACTTTAGAGAAAAGGCAAGTGAACTCTTAAAAAACTGTTTATAATATAAGAGATAGACTAAATAATCAAATATGGTCAAGTCGTACATTTACAAAAAATATTAGGAATGATAAATGTAGACAAGTGTGTGAAAAATCAAAAAGACTTTGGATAAAAAACAACTAAGCCGCGATATATTTGCTTGTGTATATAAAAATATTATAATATTTATAAAACACTAGCAGCAAAAAATCTCTAAAAAAAATAAAAACCGACTTCAAACAAAAGCACTAAAAAGTAAAAAATAACTGATTGGTAGTTTTCATTTACTATACATACCTAACCAAATATTTTCGAAGTCGGTGTGCTTTGCTTTGTTTGGGCTGGTACCGATTTCGAAAATATTTGATTAGGTATGTATTTAATAGGTAGGCTTTAATTACTTAGCCAAAGCACACCGACTTCGAAAATATTTGATTAGGTATGTATAGTAAATGAAAACTACCAATCAGTTATTTTTTACTTTTTAGTGCTTTTATTTGAAGTCGGTTTTTATTTTTTTGTTAAAAAGTTTTTATTTTTCCCTTTTTAGTGTAGACAGTAGTAGCAAAGTAAGAATTCTAAAGTGTTAGGCTTGTCAAACCAAACAAAATAAGCCCAAACTCAAAGTATCTACTATTAGTCGTTGAAGAGTTCCACCTATACACCTTCTGGCCTTACCATCAGATCAGGTCAACAATACCAAACCTCTGTACTATCAACGGAAATAGAAACACTTGCAAAGTTTAAGTCAATATGACAATTAGAAGTAGGTTAAATTCATTATTAGCTATTTCTCCACCCTTAGGGGTGGTATTTTTTTTGAAATTTAAATGGGACCAATCTGGAAGTATACCCTTTCAAACAAAACAAAAATTGTCCAAATCGGTTAATAAATGACGGAGTTCTGAGGTAACAAACATAAAAAAAAACATACAGTCGAATTGAGAACCTCCTCCTTTTTGAAGTCGGTTGAAAAGGTAGTTTTGTATAAACTTTCATCCCCTATTTTACTCCCTTATATGATGAATTTGGAGAAATGCTAAAAAATGTATTTATTTAATTTTATTGAAGAGAATTAATACCAAGTTTCTAGTAATTCTGATAAAAAATATTTTTTGCACTGTATAATAGCATGTTTTCCCGTGAGAATTAGATAATGTCTGGCGGTTAAAAGTAGCCCATTTCACTCTCCAGCCCTCCAACTATGTCCACACAAAAAATCGAGCCAATCCGACACTCCATTTCGACGTGAAAGAAGGACAAACAAACAAACGCTTTCACATTTATAATATTAGTATGGACATGTATATTGGATGAATTGAAATTTTATAAAACATATTGAAAAATGATATTGAATTTATGGCTTCACAAAGAAAAACGAATGTTACATAAAATAAAATGTAAAAACAGCAAGAAAGCTAATAAGCTTCTAAGATAAGAGCAGAATGGTACTACTAGCACACCTATTCATGTAATCGACGCGACGACGTTAGCAGTGTATTAGCAACTAGAAATCGATTAATTAGAAAATTGACTATACATATATATAGCTTCAATTATCAAAATAAACCCTTACTAATTTAAATAAATAATATTAATATAAATATACTATCTATTTATAGATATAATAAACACTTATTTATGCTTATCGATAAAATAAATTGTATTTATTAGGTACACCATTCCGTACAAATATACACCTTAATATATTAAAAGCACTAATAATAGTAAAATATTTACTAGAATAATTGGAATATTATGGCGTATTGTGCTCTACTCATCTTGTTTTCCTCAGATTAAGAAGAAAACTCAGCGCAAACGTTAACTACGTCATGTTAGTATTTAAATAAATTAATACAAAGTTGTGTTATATTAAAATTCGAATCACAAAGTGTTAACTGTAACATGAAACTCTTTGAAAACTTTAATGGCTACTGCAACTTCAACCCTCCAGAAGATTATATGAATTCATAAATGTTGTACTTACTTAAAGTGCTCTTTCTTCTTATTTAATCTTTATATTTCTCTATTTCTTAAAATATTCAGTTTTATAGATAAAAGCAGATAATAATCTATACTAATATTATAAAGCCAAAGAGGTTCTAAGTAGTTTTATTTGCTTAAACGCGCTAATATTTACCAATAGATTTAAAATTGTTTTTGCATATTACAGCCTATACTAGTGAAACATATTTGCTTCGCTTGAGTTGATCCCTTGGTAAAGGCCACCGAAAATTACAATACAGAAAAAAAAATTCCTGTATTTTAGTATAAAGTTTTCGTGGGAATGAGATAATTTTTCGCAGTAAAAAAACTCGTTATTAGTACGTCACTTTCTGTAGACATGATTATCATCTGACAAATCAAATTTCATTTCGTTATCTTTCTATTAATGGACTTTTAAAGAAAAGCTATTAGCCACTTTTTTTAAGAAAGTTAAATTAAAGATTAATCATATAAAACAAATGGATTACACATTTTAATTACAATGCATTTTTTTATATGCATGTACATATTATGTATGTCTTTATAAGATCTTTAAAATTATTCTTTTCAATTTTTTTAAAAACTTTAACAAACTAAAAATATTTGGAATTAAATAAAAATTTTAACCTATAATTAATAGTTCTTAGTAAAAATAGGTGAATATTTTAACGCCTTCCAAAATGTCACATACATCTAAGCAAAATATACGGCTATGAAATTTAATAAACGATATATATATCATCCATCTATACATAGACTCGCTTATATTATATCGTAACATTGCTCTTCTGTCTGGCAATCTATCATAAAGTTTGTCGTTTATATAAAAAATGAATCGATTACCTTGGTGTTAACTAGTGCTCGAGAATATATTTATATTTATAAATATCATTGTTTATTTAGATAATACCTAGTATGTAGTTAATATGTAGTTATGGCAGTGGTAGCTCAATGGTAACGCGCCTGCTTGGGAAACCGAGTAAAGCAGGTTCAAACCCGGGTCTCGCACTTCTGATATTTTCATGTGCGAATCATTTCTAACATGATTACCACTTGCCTAATGGTGAAGGAAAACATCGTGAGGAACCCTGCATGTCTGAGAAAACCTGGCAAGATCTCGAAAGACATGTGAAGTCCGCCAACCCACACTTGGCCAGAGTGGTGGACTATGGCCTGATCCCCCTCGTATTGAAGGGAGGCCCGTGCCCAGCAGTGGGACGTCAAAAAAATGGCTGAATACAAATTTAATATCTACGAACGCTCTAGCCCCCAAATAATTCAATTATTTGATCGTGTAACCAATTCCATTACGTGCTATAAAGAGGTAGCCGATATTATCGCCTGACGTTTTATAGTATAGATGCATGACTGGTATCAAGCCAACAATAATTTTCCAATATGTATGATGGTTTTAATAGTAG